GTTCCGACCTTATCCGTCCGTTCAGTCTGCCCAAGTCTGCAGGATTCACTAAATGGACCGTCTCTGGAATCGCCTGCTTAATTTTGAGGTTGGACTCGCCGTCAAGGTTAGCGGTTTCGATGTAGCAAAGCCCTTCAGGTTCAGAACTTGTGAGCAGGACTCAGTCGGCAGGAAAAGACTCCTCCGACTCGACACGGACGATGTCACCAACAGCAACATTGACCCATTGTGTCCCCACGAAGGTGCAACCTTTTAAAACCCGTCCTTTTGAGTCATTTACGCCCTTGTCTTCTGTCTCTCCCTTCTCTCCCTCCCCCCTTTTTCTCTCCTCTTCCCCTCTTTTCTCTTCTCTCTGCCCGCCCCCCTTTCTACCCTTTCTTTTTCCCACCCCCCCTCGTCCCTCGTGGTATTTTGTTCCCCCTTAAGCACAGACTTCTACCTGGAGCTGGGTTCCGAATTCATCTTGCTTCCCAGGCGAGCGTGGACGAAATGGATTGTAATGGCCATCAACGACCAGTCCCCAGAAACAGATGGCGAGGGAAAGCCGGGGATAAACAGCCCCAAAAGCCAAGTGTTTGTCGCGATTGTTTCTTCCTCTTTCTCCCCACTACATGACCACACACTCTCCGTCAGTCTGCTTGTTGACATTCGATCGAGACATGCGTGTCTTTTGGTGCTTGGGACCTCCTCTCTTGAGGACCTCGAGTCGTTCTCGTGCCTTGGTAAAGTTTTGTGCTGCAAACCAATTAGTTCTCAACATCTTCGAGATGGGGAGCGCTCTACTCACCTGCTGCTCGATAGTACCAACGTTTGGCTTCTTCGATGTCCACCGCCGTGCCGATGCCGACCTCGCTGAAGTAGCCCATTGCATACTCTGCCTTGGCAAGGCCCGAACTCGCGGCTTTCCGTGCCCACAAGAATGCCTCCATGTCGCTTTGTGTAAGCAGCGGTTCTGACCCTGTCAAGTACCAACCGCTCAGCGCCAGTTCTGACTGATGCTCTCCTTGAGCCGCCGCTCGAGTGTACCATGAAATGCTTTGACGAGCATCGATCGGGCAGCCAAGCAAACCATACTCATACGCCGACCCAAGCCGGAACTGCGAGTATTTGTAGCCCAGTTCGGCAGCTTGCTGGAACAGTTGAAAGGCGTATTTCTCATCGCGCACGATATGGTCCGTGGACGAGGCCGATTCGTAAAGGAGGCCCAGTTCATGTAACGCATGAGGATTGTCCTTGTCCGCCCGTTCAGCAGCCCTCTTCAACCACGACACTGCTTCACGTGGATTCTTCTGTTGCGAAAGCAAACCCTTCAACAATATCATTCCCATCTTGTACATGGCTGGCGTGTCTCCGAGTGTTGCTGCTCTTTTGTACCATTGCATCGCTTTCAAAGGATCACGTCGGGTCCCGCCACCTTCTTCGGTCCCCAGTTCGCAGCACACAGCCACTCGATATGCACTCTGGGGATGATTGAGCTTCGCGGCCGACTGGTAGAGAGAAAAGGCCTCTTTCGCGTCCACAGCAAGTCCCAGCATTCCTTGTCCGTAACAATCGGCCAGATAGAACATTGCGTCTGGGTAGTTAGCTCCCACCAGTTTCTTGATCAGTTTATGTGCGTCGAAGATGTACTTTTCGCGGTTCTTCTGTGTGGTCTTCTGGTCTGCTGTCCCGTTCTCATCTGCAAGCACCCTAGCCGCCTCCACCATCTTCTTTGCAAGCTTCAACCCGAGAGCATGGTCGCTGGGACTCCGGAGATACATCTCGCGGAGGCTATTCAGCTCCTGGGCAGTGACAGATGACGAAGGCCCGGAGACCGACCCCTGTTGGTTCGGCTGAGTCGGTGGTGTCGGACCCGATGAGTAGCCGCTGCTGTCTTTGAGTCCTGGCCTCACTGGAGTAGGGTGAGCTGGCAATGCATCCGGGTTAAACTCTGCATTTGAGGTCGGATAGTGCCTGACGGGTACGGGATGTGCAGAGTTCGAAGCGTTGGGCTTAGCAGGGCCGTTAATGAGATTGTCCTGGGTCGCTCTGCGCACTAGTGGGCCTGGTCCATACGGTTGTTGATACTGTTGGGCCTGTCCTGGGTGAACATAGCCTTGGTCAGATGTCAGGGATCCTGCCGGTACAGTTGGTGCCGAAGGAGCACGGTTCTTTTGGGCATAATCCTGATCATATGGGTTCATCATCTCGTAACTTTGTTGCGGTGGCCGTTGCGCATTGCTTGTATGTGGTCGGACGGGATACTGATCCTGGCTAAACGATCGATAGGGCTGGCCATTGTTTGGTAGTGGAGGCCTCGAGGCGTCGGTGTCCATATTCGGCTTAATCCCATTCCGACTGGCAGTACGAGGTGGCGGATATTGTGAGCTAGGCGCATCTTGAGACTGGATGTCCCCGTATGCACTCCTTGCAGGTCCTCCTGCGCCGAAAGTCTCCTGTCCGCCGTAAACTCCTCGATAGGAAGCGGCCTGTGCGGGATTATCGTTTCTACCAGCCATCGCAGGTTGAGAGGAGCCAGGCAAGTCAAACGAGAACTCAGCCAAAGGAGATGTGGTCTGATTAGGAGGGGAAATAGACTGTTTGGTATCAATCTGACCTGGAAACGACCCTGGCCCAGGATAAGTCGGTTTCTGGTAGACGTTGCGATCGAAACCAGTTTGTTGATTTGCAATGATATTGTCTTCCGTTTTCTCATTCACACCAGTCGGAATAGCATCAAAATTTGGAATTTGACTGTCTCTCAACTGGCTGACTTCCCCGTGGCCGTTGGGAGGAAACCCTCGGTATGGGTCGGTACGAAGATCCCCTTGAGGCGCAGGTCCCGGTCCATATCCCTGAGGAACACGGTCTATGGGTGAAACGTGTGCTCTTGACTGAGGGATGAAGTCTGATGAGTAACCCTCATCGAAAATGTAGTTATTTGCCCGACGATCTGGAGGCGGATAATTGCGTGGAGCGTTGTAGTTTGCCGGCGGACTGAACTCTTCCATTCCACCAGGGGGGCCAGGACGAGGTCCGCTTCTATTCCCTGGCGGCGGGGGACCACGCGGAGGGCCTGCTGGCCGCATTCTCGGACTGTTCATCCCGCCCTGCTGTCTGGGGGCCGGTGGTTGTTGATAATTCATCTCCGGAGAGTTTCGACCAGGCGGCATTGGATACGTTTGTTGCGGAAGTGGCGGAGGCCCCATATCGGGGGGACGGTCATGGCGGTCATGCGAGGTCCTAGGACGAGGCGCTTCTTTTCTCGGGCTGTTGGAGGTATGAGGTCTTGCTTCATAACCTCCACTAGGACGGCGTTCGTTCATGTCGAGACTGGCCATGGCGTTGTCCAGACTGCCGTGTCTCTCGTGCCTCATCCTGTCTCCTGGCCTCTTTTTAGGAGGGAAAGCGCCGAATGGATTATCCCAGGACAAGTTCTTAGGGGATGTGGGTTCAGTCAAAATGCGGTCGCGGGCTACAAAGCGTCAGCGTTCAACGTCGATCAAACAATATCACTTAATTCTTACGCCTGAGTCTCCTGGGAGGCGTGGAAGGCTCTGCCCACTGGTTCCTTGGTGGTCTCTGTGCATGGGATCCGCCGTGATCTGGTGGTGCTCTGCCTGACCCATTGGTGCGATAGCGCTCGTCATATGAATATTGCCTCGGAGCAGGGGCACCTTGATCGAATTGGCCTGGCCGGGGAGGTTGCGAATACCCATCGCCATTTTCAACATAGCGTGCCTCATGACCGTTTGGTTGGGGATATTGATTTTGACCTTCCCACTGGGCGTTTCGATCATAACCACCGGGCGCTGGCGCCTGGCCTGGCCCATAACCATTCCGACTCTTTGGATAGTCATTGTAGCGTTGGTTGTCCTGGTTGTAGGGACCCTGACCTCTCCCGTTCTCTTGCCATTGTCTCTGATTATTTCCACTGTCGTATTGGTAGGAGGGAGCTGGGTTTTGTTGCCATTGCTGGCCGTATTGGTTGCCAGCCATCATCGTGGCGGAGAAGCACGAGACCTTGTCTCAGTCTGCCTAAAGAAAACCTGCTTCCCACAGAAACCGCATCGACAGACAGGACCTGGTTGTTGGCGAGGCAGTGCCGCGGGAAAGAGGTGTGATTAATGTTCAGGCTGGATTTCCAGACCGCATCGGGCTGTTATCAAATCAATGTGGCCGCGAGAAACGCCGACCAAATCTTCAGCCGCAGCGAAGCGACAAGAGGTGACGAACAGACAAGGCAAGCAAAATGAGCGCGACCGAGGGGAGGGACGCAGCAACTACACCGATAGCGACCAGGGGAACGAGTGGTGCAGATATGTGTATGGTCGAGTGAGTTGCAAGTAAAAAGGTCGGGTTGTTTGTTGCGGCTGGACGCCGCTCTAGCTAATACCCATTGGCCTCTTCTGGGCTGTTTGACCCAGACGGCTGCTAAACGGCACAGATTTGTTTAGAAGTTCCGGAGGCGCCACCAGGGCTTCAAAGGGGATCGGGACGCGATCACCCGGGCTCGGCTAAGGCTTCTGGTGCTTCTGCCTTTTAGCTTAAGGGGGAGAATGAGGGAATGAGGGGGGTGACGAATACTCCGTACTCGTGAGCGCAGCCCAGAAAGCCCCAAGCAAAATCCAACGTAATATTTTGGACTTTTTACTTGCCGCGGGATCCAATCTGTAGCCACTATCTGTTTTGTTGCAAACCCCAGGTGTGGAATCCCCGTTAGACCGATTTAACTCGCAACAAGGTGCGATTGGGTACAAGACAAATGAACATTCATTCATTGACCTTGACAAAGTCGGAACCTGACCAGGCACGCAGGACAAAGAGCGAACCCCAACCTTTCATGCCAGGCACAAGCCCATGATTCGCCGCAACCAGACCTCTTTGACGACCGACCCCCCGACGATCGCCCGCTAAATGAAGCCTCTAGAACGGGGTTGCGGGCTATAAAGCCACCGATCTCCACGTTAACGAGACGTGGCCCAGACTGCTGGGCCATGGGAGATCCTAGAAAAAGCTGGCTCCCATTGCTCCCGGAGATGGTGGGCTGTGCAAGCAAGATGCATGGAAATCAATCATCAACCGCTATTGGGCTTTGCGTACCGAGTAGACGAGTATTCTCGTCCCTTTGCCTACCCAGCATACGAGCCACGCAAACTCTGGATGATCGAACTCTACTTTGAAACAAGATTTGTCGCAGAACTACACTGGCTTGATTGGACAGCACTGTGGCTTGAAAAGCAAGATGCTAGAGGTCTGCCGCCTGCGCCACAACTCGTTCCCTTTCTTGAAATTTTATTAGGCGATCAAACGGCGATGGTTTGGTGCTCGATCCTTGCTGGCTTCAGAATCCCCATTTAGTGAGAGCACCATCACCCCTTGACCCGGGCCACGACTTTCCGGTTACAGAAGATCCTGACATGAAGCTCCCCAGCTGAATCATCTCGCAGGTCTTGGAGTATGAGTAGCCACTGTCACCATTTTCAGTCGCAAATCAGCTGACAGTCGAATCCTACTCTTTCCGCGTACTCACACAAGGTTCAACGCACATATCACATGTCACAGCGCAAGGCTCGGACAATTTGACCACATCCCCAATTTTCAGAGTCAGGCGTTCAACCGTCACTTTGACCAACCCGCTGAGCTCGTTTCAACACTTATGACCGAGATTTCGATAGCACCAAACCCATCGGCCTGGTAGACCTTTAGCAAACCCTTCGTAGTCAACGCAAGAACGTGAAGTAGAGCTTGGGCACCCACGATCTGCGAGTTCTGGGTTGGTGGGAGGAGCTCGTCTAATGTGATCGTCATCTCTTGTCCTGCATTTCTTCCCTCTCCAGTACCATCTTGCTGTTCTGCCTTCTCTTGGACTTTCGTGTTGACGAAGGTAAGAAAATTGTATGCTTCATTCTCCAGAGTTGCAGCCACCCATTGAGACTGTGCAGCCGTTTGCGTGTCAACAGTCACGGAAGGTCCGTAGAGTTCGAAATCTGGATCAATGTCTGCACCCAGCTGCGCGTCTAGATCTGCGAAGATGTCATCATCGCCCGTGACTCGTGACGTGTCGAAAGGTTCCCGGCTGCTCTGTCTGGACAGCGAAGCTATTCCTCTCCCGAGAAGTGGACTTGCAGAAGTAAGACGCAATCCTCGTCTACTTATAGCAGAAGGTGGTCCTAACTCTATGCCGCCATGGAGACCACCGATGCTTGAGCCCATCCTCGAGATAAGGCCGCTCCCCAAAGGCTGCGCCGAGCTGTGACGAGATCCAGAGATATTCCATGGCATGCTGGACGATTGGTCAGGTAAGGATGGAGGGCCCTGGCGACCAATCTCGGCTTCAAAAGGGAAGTCATCGCCTGGCAATATCAACCCGTTGTCATCGGTATATGGGAATCCCATGTCATCTCCTCCGCGAGCGATTTCATCGTCGGATATTGTCCTGGCTCTTACTCGCCTGTCGTCCTCTCGTTCATCATCCTCAAGGGAACTACTTCGTGATCTTTTCTTTCCGTGTCCCAGTTCGCCGCTCAGCATATCCCACAGCGACTGACCACTGAAGACGGTGAAAGGGTGTGGGACTCTGTCATCCCCGAAACAAGAGGCAACATTCCCCAATCCTTGCTGTAGGATCCAGAATTTGGCGTTCTTCTTGGCCTCGAAGCAGGCTATTTGACTCTGTCTGGTACGAGAAGCAGCTGCCATGTTGGCAAGGTAATTCTGGTTCCACTCGTTGAGATCTCGATTGCTCAATTCTGTCTGTCGATCTGGTCGGATTGCCTTCACACTGCGTCCGCGACGCTCGGGTGCCTCTGCTGTCTCTGAGCTTTCCTCGAATGTTTGGACGGGGGAGGCTGCTTGTGTCGCTTGGCGGAATCCTTCGTCTTCAAGCTCCGGGGTCAGAGGGATTTGAGGAGCTGGTGGTAGGAAGGCTGGTTCATCGTGTCCAACAACATCCATTTCGTCGAAGTCTGGCAATAGCTCATCATCTCTTGCGCTTGGCGGATGTACGCTACCATCCCGGTCGCTAGGCATGAGGTCGATTTGCTGTTGTTGCCCAGCATCGGTTGGTCGCTCAAGGCCCAAAAGACTCTCCGAGACAGCGGGCTGGAGAAAGCCATCCTCATCAACGTCAAAGAGTGGTTCGTGCATGATGGCAGGTTCTTCTTCAAAGACCGAATAAGGATCGGCTCTGCTGCCAGTCTGCATGACAGAGCTTGTCTCTCCATGGATTAACACATCGAGGCCGCCACTGGCTCCAGCAGGCGTATCGAACGAAGGCATCTCAATCTCAAATTCATCGGTCTCGTCGTGGAGAGAGTGGCTGGTCTGGGTTGAAGGCAGTGTGAGAAACGACGAGGCACCAATGGAGGGACTGGAGTCTTCTGACGCGAATCCAAACGCGGAGAGATCGAAGTGGATGTCAAGATCCGGATTGAAATATGGGTCTTCTGGGAGGTTAAGCTGTTCCGGCCTTGTGATAAAGATGAGTCTCATAAGGATGAAGGAAGCATTTATCGACTGACCGCGTCTTTCCAACATCCGGGTCCAGCTCCATCTCTTTCAAGACATGGACCGTGTCCCTCATCTTGTCTCTCAAACTCGTGGCGTCTGTCAATACGTAACCACATTGTCGCTGGAATACGCGAGAGACTCCAAACAGCAGACTGCCTTGTAACCTCAGCGCCAGGGGCACCTCGGGCTCCGTGATGGTCTTGCATGCCTTTTGAAGGTCGACGTCAAGGATCGCGCGACGAGATACCTTTTTCAGGTTGGATTTGGAGCCAAGTGTTGCCACGAGCCTGATGATGAAGTGAGCGCGTGAGGCAAACATTCAGAGGGGGTGTGAGGACCGCCAGAGCGGGAGACTTCGGTCGAGGGGATGGATGAGATGGGATGAGATGGGGAGTAGGAAGTTTCATACCAGATGGTCGCAACGCCATACTGACGATTCGTCAAGACTGTTCATTCCGGACACAAAGGTTGTGGTCAGCGTTTTGTCTCAAGTTGTATCTTCCAGCTGCTCGGCTGTCCAGAAAGAGGAGGACTCACTCTCGTGGCTGTAGAACATGTCGCCTCAACAACTCCGAATATCCTGCCGCATGTAAACTTCCTCGAGAATTCCTTCGAACTGTGACGAGTCCGAACAAAGAGGCCGGCTCGAGGACGTGGGCTGCGGCTGCGGCTGGTAGCAAACCAAGGGGGGGGATCAGAAGTAGGAGCTGGTCAAATGGTCAAGTGCGGTGAGGCATGATCTGGAGAGGGTTGCAGATTGAGAGTCGAGTTGGAAAGTGAATGATTTCAGAACAACGCGAATCCAGAACACGCATGCCATTTCTGTTAGACCCTGTCTCGTTGTGTATGTTCCTGGTATTATCGCCTGTTCCAAAGGATAATGTGCAAAACCGGGTTCCTTTCCAAGCCTGCCATGTTGGCAAGCCTTTCTCAACTGTTCCCTTCCCATCTCTCCCAACCTGATTTATACCTATGAACCTCTCCTTCTCATCACAGTATTACAACGTCCTCTTCCAGGAATCGACTCCAAAGACAGACACTGGCCTGGATCCCTTAGCCGCGAACCTCCTCGGGCTCCTTCTACCGGATTCTCCCAGTTGCGTGCTGGTCTCCACACAATGCTCGAAGCGCACAGGCTGTAACCAGATGCTCGGTTGAAAAGACACAGCGAAAGTCAGAGCATCCATTTGCCCCATTGCCGATACTGCTCTTGTTGTGAATGAACCGACCTGGACCCGAGGAGTGCATTTTTGACCCAAAAAAAGAACATAGCTCACAAGATGGAACTCGTCTGATTAAGCCGGAATTTGTATTCAAATGCTTTTTGGGGTATTGTATCTTGCTGTCGGCGCCTTCGTATATTCTAGTCTAGGTCCATTTCCCTACTCAATGGGAATACCCTCGTACTCCCCATAACCCAGAGCCAAATTCATGTTTTCTGTGCAGATAGAAAGTCAGTATATGCAGAGGACAACACGGTTCAACTGGGGACCTGAGACTTACGAAGACACTGTGTTGCTGCTCCTTTCAACAGGTTGTCAATTGTTGCACAAACGACCACTCTCTTTCCACTGCTGTGGACTGCAAACCCGCCTACTTCCACGCCGTGCTTTTTGGCGATATTCTTCACAAGGGGCGCTTCACCAATAATCTTCAACAGTTTCTCCCCGGCATAGCGGTCTTGATAGAGCGTTCGAATGTCGCGAGACTTCATTTCTTGGTTGAGCGGAATGTTAATTGTATGATGAATGCCCTGGAACCAGACAGCAACATGGGGTATAAATGCCACCGATGTACCTAGTTGGGTGGAGATCTCGCGTTCATGGATGTGGTCCGTGAGACTGTATGGAATGATATTGTCTGTGAGGTTGTTGACGTCGTTCTTCGGAGACGGTTTGGTGCCTGCACCTGAATACCCTGAGACGCCGAATACTGTGGGTTGACCACCCAAGTATGGCACCAAAGGCGCAATGCCTAACTGTGCGGCTGTAGCATAGCAGCCTGGGTTCGAGATTCTTGTAGCCCTTGCGATGGCGGACCGGTCAACTAGTTCCGGTAGACCATAAGTCCAGTTCGGATCGAATCTGTAGTCGGCGCTTAAATCGATAATGACACTGTTTTTGCCGACCTGGTCGATGGCATCGACAAATGGCTTGCAAACGCCGTTTGGCAGGGCCATTACCCAGCAATCCACGTCTTCATTCTCTTCCATTTGTCGAACGTCTTCCACGGTTAGGTTTTCGTAGATGATTTCGCGTCTGTCATATCCCTCAAGCTTCCTGCCAGCAAGCTCCCGCGATGATACATGACGCAGATCCATGTGGGGGTGGCGATTAAGGAGGTCGATAAGAGCTTTTCCGGTATAGCCTCGAGCTCCAATGAGGGCTACCCGCGAAGGCTTGCTGTTGGAGCTGTTCTTGGAACCGAGAGGTGGGTTCGGATTGGTTGTAGAGTATGTGCGAATAGAAAGGGCAGGCTTTGTGACATATCTTGCTTGTCGTGCTGAACGTAATGGGTTGGCCGACGTTGAGAATGTCCGCTTCTGTGTCACCCCTTGAGCAGTAGTGCTGGCCACATTGGACGCCGCTCTGGCTGCACGGTGCAGCTTTGCCTCGAGATTGATATCACCAAACAACTGACGGCCATGTTTTGTGAATTCGACCATAAGGTCCTTAACCTCATCGCTGGTCTCAAGACCGTACCAAAAGAGGACTTCGCCATCTTTGGAGAGACTACCATCGGCCTTGTCGAAGAACCAAGTCAAGTTCTCATCGTCTTCCTTGACAGTCCACATCAGCTTGGGGAAATCCTTCTTGATGGCGGCGAAGATATTGTCTGCTACGTTGGTCAGCCAGCCATTCCTGGTGATGGTCAGGGTTGCCAGCTGAGCCAATGTTGTCTCTCCACCTGGTGGCAGGACAAGGGCAAACGCCTCCATCGGTTCATCGAAGTAAGCCTTAAAGTCTCGTGTATGGAGGAACTTGATGTAGCGATCCACAATGGCGGGGGCGTCAAGTCCAGCCCGATCACGGATGAGGACTTCCTTCAGTTTGTTGAGGTCTTTGAACTGGTCGATAGAGGCGTTGACATGAACTTTGTTGCCCCGTCGAATCAGAGTACCGGCTCCAGAATCCGTGAACAGTTCCTTTTGCAAATCAGCGGGATGAATGATGGCAACGCTCGAGCTGCGAGGCAGATCCATAAGAAGCTCCTTCATCTCCTTGATCTTCAACCTGGTACCGTGGCGAACCCACCACTGTTGCATGAGGTGGTCATATTCTTCATCCAAGTTGATGGCGGAGATCTTCTCCTTCGTGTCGCCATTGAACAACCCACCCTTCTCGGAGAGGTAGACAATCTTCAAAGGCTGGAGCGCTCGAGCTAGCTCACCGGCCGCAACATCTGCATTCACGTTCAAGACTTGGCCGTCCGATGTCTCGGCCATGGACGTCAAGATGGGCAGGCATCCTGCCTGAATGGCAGCTTCGATCGGTCTCTTATCAACACGTCTGATCTTGCCCACGAGATTGTATTTCTCCTTGTCAAGATAATCCGCTGTAAAAACCCCAGAGGTGATTGGTCTGGCTCGAACACCTAGACGCTCTAATTCCTCTACCAGCCGTAAATTCTCCTCGAGAAACAGCGCTCGTGCGATGCCCAGTGTCTTGGGATCTGTGACCCGAATTCCGTCCTCAAAATGTGGTTCGACCCCGGAATCCTCCAGAATCTTATTCAGCTGTGGCCCAGCACCATGAACCACCACTGGATAGAGCCCGACATGGTTGAGGAATGCAAGGGCGGAGGACAGAGTCTGCAGATGCTCGGTCAAGATGGCTCCACCGACCTTGATGACCGCAAATTGCTGGGACGAAACCGAGCTGAAGTGCGACAAGTACTGTTGAACCTCCCTCTTGGAGCCAATGTTACTGAGCAACTGTACCACCGTTGACCTCGTCGAGGGATACGATCCTGACGGGGAGGAGTATGTTCGTCGGGAAGATGTCTGCTGTACAGCGAGGGGAGTATATGAAGGTCTAGCAAGGCGGAGAGCTCGAGAACGAAGGGTCGAGGACGCTGCCCGTCGAGTGACTGCTCGCGCAGTAGCAGCTCCCAATGCCGACATCGTGGGCTTTCAGGTCATGCGGCAGCTGATAAGATCTATGGAGTCAATGTCCGGTGTCGGTGACGCAGAAAGTCTTGGTCGCAATATGACAGTTGAGTGCGAGGGAGGAAGAGGGGAGATCAAAACACGGGAAAAGGACAGAGAAAACCCAACTGCAGGTCTATTGAGAGAAACGCCAAAGAACCATATGCCCGAGATCAGAGCTGGGGGAAGAAAAAACTTCTCCAGCGTCGTCTTGGGTCAAAATTTTCTTTGCACTCGCAACTGCTCGATAGCAAAATATTTTGCGGGGTGATGATTGTTGTGCATGAGGTTTACCCAGTGGCAGAACCAACCACAACCCCAACTTTGAAGCCCACCGGCCGTGCCAGCCCAGAAGCCCATTACCAGCCGTGCCTGCGCGGCCACCGCTACTCCGAATTAATGGGTGGCGTGCCCGGGCCTGCGACCAACTCTACGAGGAACAGCTGCGTCTGAGGGAAAATTTTTTTGTCTGGAAAATTCTCTTCGCCGCCTTGCTGCATGATGAACGCATTGCACTGGCATTCTAGCCTGAAGAGGCCGATCGTCATTTACAAGCACTGGTTTCTTTATCTAGCGGACCTGGATTGTGCACGCGTTGAAATTTTACTCGATCCTGCCCAAGTCGAGATTCCTTGCTCAAAAGTCTCATCTCGCGAAGAACGCGCAGTGAAGACTTTCAGATTGCGCTAGAAGTGTTATAGATGACGGTATCATCCTTGGACGGCTTTAGAAGTTGCTTTGCCTATTGTGCGAGTACTGAGGAACACCTGATAAGTGAGCCTGCACGAATCTTCCATCGGGATATCAGCAAGATAAAACATTGCAGGGATTGAATCGCAGAACTCATGGCAGAATCCATTTTATTGAACGCCCAATTGACAAGGGGAAACAAGCCCAGTGTGCATTATTGTAACAAGTGTAGCACCATCCCATCCTATCGTCCCGCCATAAGCGCGCTGCTTGCGAGCACTGTTCAGAAAGAGCTCTCGTTCACGCTTTCGCTTTCGCTGTTGTTCTCGCTTTCACGTGTTTCCTCCAACGTTGGGAAGACTGTGCTGTCGTAATGTTCCAAGGAAAAAGAAGGCAGGTGTCGTTCAAAAGGGGTTGTGGGTTTATCGTGTGGCGACCACTGAAAAAGCATGTTAGCACTCGTGTGATGCATACGAAGCGAAGGGTAGAGGCATACCTGCTGGGACAATAATGACAATGAGTAGCACAATGATGCCGACGATCAAACACATGCGCATCTTCATGTCCTTCCACCACATCTGTTTTCGGACTCGGTTTGCCCCTCTGCGGAAACCCTGTGCGGAAACGGCGAGATTGTCGGTCTTATCTTGCAGCGAGTCTAGTCGCTCGCCTCTTTGCGATACCTTGTTGATATTCTCACGCATAACACCGACGGTATCATCGATTTGCTGTGAGATGAACATGTCAGCTTTCAGCCCAACCAGAGGATGAGGATGGCGGGTCGAGATTGGATAAGATCCCATCATTTCAACGATGAATCTGTGGCAGTTGACAGCGTTCAACTCAGCTAGCGTGCGCTGATGGATTCCGCAACGCAGATTCCATCTGCGACACTGCAGCCGGCAAGATCGACCGTCACTCAACCCCGATATCTTCTTTCGTATGACCTTGCGTCTGGGGCATCATTCACGTACCGCTTGCAGGGCAGCTGTTCTCTGGTTGCTGGCCGGCTGTGCGCCGCCTTGTCCGCCAGCAGGTATATAGGGATCATAAGGCGCTTCTGAAGCCATTTTGATAGTGTTGGTCTCGGAGAGGGATGAAGTGGGATTGAGAAAGGGAAGTCGGTAATAGGGGGTTTCAGGGGTGCCTAGATGGTGACAACGGTCGACAGATCGGAGTGAGGTGCGTAGAGAATCAAGTGCTTGGATGAGGTTGAGAGTCTTGGGATGCTGATGGGGATGAAAGATAGATTGAGACGGAGGTTGGAAGTGCAAAGCTGACGAGGGCTGGTAAATCTGGCGCTTGGACCTGCGACAAGCGCACCACCGATGCTGGGAAGAGGCCGGGCCCCGACCAGGGATTCTGGATTTCTGAGACGAGCAGCAGCGCCACCAACTTGTTTCAGTTCACCAGCGCAAGCACGTGATAGAGAACGGCGCAGTCAAGTACTTGTAGTCACCCAACTCCAGGAGAATTAAATATCGAAATACAAGGACTCACTACCCAGTTCCTACTCAAGTCACTACAAGTACTAAATATTTTCAAGAACACGGCTTTGGAGGATGTGGCAATTTACTAGTTACCACCCACCACCACCTTCAGATTCCGGCTGACGGATGATGGCTGTCTTCGGCCCTCCAAGTAAAAAGAGGCTGTGCTCTAGGCGACCTTACATCAGAACCACTTGTTCATTACTAGTATTAGTATTCGCAACATTGTGCAGAGTTAGACCGCCAGGCTGCACGATTTGCGCACTGACCGCTGCCTCGGTTTGCCGAACAAATCGTGCATTAATGGCGCACTCACCCCATGTTGACTTGCATCTCCTTCCATCATGGCACACATGGTTCTCTGATTCAAATCGATTGCACTTAGCGATAACTTAAATGGCGCAAACGACGTTGTTTTGTGGCCAACTTTCAGTGTAGCCTAGACTCATCAACTCCCGTGTTTTCGTATGTACGAGTACAGCATGGATCCACGGCCTTGAATCCTGCTTGTCAGTGCTGGGGGATGCGCGTGGCGCCCCCTGCAAACCCCTAAATCGAAAAGTGGTGGTTGAGCTCATTCGCCAATCAAAACCCGCCAAGTACATAGAAATGGTGATGCATTATGAACCTCGACCGCGACGCCCGCACCTTCAACCTCATCTATTGCAAGTGCAGACCATTGCAGACCTTGGTTTCGCTAATTTGTGTCTGCTTACCGTCCTGTTCCAATCACCGTCCAATGATTTCTCAACGAAAGTGTTGTAATTGAGCCAGGACCGAGGCGTCCACAGTTTCCCTCGAACGGCCCCGTTGGACGACGGTCGAGAAGACAAGTTCAACCACAATGGCTTCGAGAGGATGGATGTACACTAAAATGGCCGCAGTGTAAGTCCAACTTTTTCCTCCGACTGATTTTATGCTGACATCTCTGCGCTACCCTAGCTTGGTGCTCTGCTGCGCTGGAGGTCCAGCATTAATGTACTAGTAAGACTTGACCTCACCCGCCGACTTCCTCGTTGTCTCCCAGCTATTGCCTTGCTCAGATGGTGTCTTTGCTTGAGATCCCACGGTATCTGACACGCGTGCCTCAGTGTAACACCCGCGGAGGGCGAAGTCTTCAAACGCTTCAACCCCGATCTCCAAAAGCGCAATCTCGAACTGCGAGAACAACGCCTCAAAAATAACGAGGAATTCGTCTCCAAATTAATCGAATATTCCAAATCAGATAAACCAGTATGGATTGTCGCCGCGGAAGCTGAGAAGAAGGAAAAGGCCGACAGGATAAGAAAAGAAGCAGAGGAGGGAACGGATAGAGGGAGTATTCGGGAGCAGATGAGACGAGCACAAGCGGAAGGGAAGTAAAATTCTGTCCATTGCATCTGGGAGGTGATCTTGGACCAAGCCATCTGTACAAAATTCTGCAAACAATACGTTGAAAGCCCCAGTTACCCGCGCTCGCATGAGATTTGCGCAGATTTGGATGGATCGATGCTGTTCCCCGAACGCCCAATGCCGGATGCTGGAGCACCAACTCCTCCCTAGGCGTCGGCAAATTCTTTCTCATGAGAGGGAATACCAGCTTCCCTAAGACGCCTCTTCAGCTCGGGGCTGCAAACATTCTCCAGTATGCCCCAAGCATCTAACCATCCTTGCTAGACAAACAAATCCACAGCCGCCAATCGCAGGCAGCGCAACGCCGTGATGATGCAATTCGCCAAATCATAGCGTATGTCCTCCGCTGTCTAGCTTTCGCAAGCAATGCTGATCGTGTCGAACACAACAATCTGAGGTCTAAAGAACAATCCACCAGGCGCCTCCCACAATGAAGAAAATCAACATAATAGTCAAGATCGCGGCGCCAGCCTTATCCGCCGTGGTAACCTTCTCTTGGTTCAGATCCTCTGGACCAATGGGGCTTGTTGTGCCAGCATTGGGATCTCCCTTACTGGTTCCACCGGAGTCTTGAGTGACGGGACCAGCAACCTGGGTGACCAGATTGGATTGAATGACTTCCAGGGCTGACATTTGTTCACCAACCCCAGTACTGCCATCGAATTGGCCGACCCACCATTTCATTCCACATGAAGTGCCATTGATGCCTCCTGTGCAGGTTGAAGCCGCAGCTGCAGCCGTTGTTTCCAAGATCGGTTTCAAGAGAGGATACGTGAAGGGCGCTCTGACCATGGTTGCTGCCATCCATCGAGCCAGGTAAGCCTTGAACGAGCGCTGATCGATATTACAGGTATCGGACCCGTCGGGATTGACGCCTTCACATGCAACTTCCTTCAGAATATTGTCGTGCAGGAAGACGTTTAGCCTTCCGATGATCCCATTTATCCTTTCCTCCCAAACCGGACTGCCTCCTGTCTGTGTTGAAAAAGGTCAGTAAGACAGATCGAATGACCGTGGAAGGTCGACTTACGAAGTTGTACATGTTGGCTGCCCCAACCAGAAACGTGCCGGCGTTGTATGTCCATTGGATATGATCAAGTTGGGTGCAGTTGAGAGTGTCATCACTCCCATCGAAAAAGTTGTACTCCCCGTCTCGCAACCCAACTGCTGAAACCCAGTCCCACATGCGATCTGCCCAATCGGCATACGTCTGGTTTCCGGTGTAGACCGCGAGGCGAGCACCCATGTTGAAAAAGCATCCGTTGGAAATGGTGTTCTTATAATTGTACCCGCCATTGAACGAAAAAATCTGCCACTTCAGTCCACCTCCACACGAGCTCGTGTCCCATCGCGCTGCCTGCGTGTTAAAAACGGCCTGAGCAAGAGCCAGCCATTGTGGCTGGTCTTCTGGAGGATTGGGAAAGACGTTCTCTGCCGCAGAGAGAGCGGCCATTCCCCAGAAGGCTTGGTCGTCGTTCCCTTCAGTCTTGGTCTGGTTGGGTGGCATGAAATCTTGGTCAGGGCCAACTTGATGGAGCATGGCTTGGGTGGTGATCTCATTGAATGAGTCGTCACCGGTGAAGTACCAGTAGTCTATGAGTGCTCCAAACATTGCACCAGCTTCCCACCAGTAGTATGGAGCAGGAAGATTTCCAGGGACATCTCCAGGTCGGTATCCAGTGTAATACGACACCATTTCATTCGCAACAATTTTCGCGGCGGCTTTGACTGAGTCGGTACTGGTGATGTCAAGCTCTATCGCGAGGGCACTTTGCGTCACTAGTATCGCTGATAACGCCACATGCAGGTATTGTCTTCTTCGAAAGGGTTTCATTGTGATGTGAGAGATGCTGTGAGACGCGAGGGAATTTGCGCAGGCAGTGAAATTGAGGGAGGAACAGCTCTCTTGCGCCTTATCGCCAAAGAATCACCAGGAAAACTATTTGTTCTTCTATACGAGACGTGATTGATGCCGCTCTGTTGGATTGGTTCGGTTGGTTGACGTGGGGGCGATCTTGATCCTTGCCGCAGATCCCAGATCCGCAGATGACGAGGCGGGCAGCCGTTAAAAGGTGGAGCAGAATAGCGAGTGACAGGTTGGTTTGGTGAGCAAGGGAGAGTAGGAGAGCGAGTCTATTGTACAGAACAATTTTGGTCAGTTTGTCAGGTACCGGAGAAAGAACTTGCAGGACAGAGGAGATGCACGAAGGATAACATAGTCACCAGGGTGGAGTGGATTTTCTTTGATTCCTGTGTCCGGTTGTTCCTTGTCTTGTCTTGCATCTCGGGAATGCACGTTGCGTGACTTGCGACGCCCCAAGGACAGCCTCCCCCCCAACGCCGCGACCATAGCCGGGACGTGGCGGAAGCTTGGGGTGGTCTCCAGGCTCCCAGGTGAGTTCATCGGTACCTTAGGTATGCAACTTGGCGGCTATGACGCCTGGGCTGGAGGGACTTGGCGGGGCCCCCTTGACAGGAATGCCTCAACCCAGTTCTCTGGAATGCAGCTAGATACGCACCTTGTGCGTCTGCCTTTACCCAAAGTGCGTAAAACACCAACTCCCAGCCTCTCCAATTGTTCACATTGTCCGTCTCTCACACCATGAATAACTCACTCATTGCCGCTACCTCGCACTCGATCGCTCCATACAGCATATGCTGCAGCTGAAGCCTGCCTTTTCCAGCTATCTCTCGCTCCACCACTCCCTCGCCATCCCGCCTCTATTGCCCAGCCGCCGAGCGTCGTGCCCAGATAGCAATTATGGCTCCTTACCTCCTGGTACACGTCACCACCGTTGCTCACAAGGCCTCTTCCAGGCTATCGGCCTTGGTTGACTCCGCGAGATCCTCAGAAATCCCACTTCTTTGACGAAGCCTACATCCCCTCGTGCTTCTTGTTTCTATCCCCTTTCCCATGTTCCTTACACTCCGAAACAGCCATACGGATTCATCATGTTTACCCCTTGATTAGAGTCTTGGATGCCCAGATCGCAGACTTTTTTCGGGCCATGTCTCAATGTCCATGTAGGGGATGTGTCACGAGCGCCAATAGACCCAAGAGATTCAAGACCGCAGAGCCCTGAGGAGGCGAAGCCACCAGACATTCTCCCGGCTGCTCTCCGTCTCGCAGCCAGCACCGAACGCGAATCGGACTGTCGTACCTTACATGAGGACACCAGCAGCCTGCGGACCTAGACTTACCGTCAATTCTGTCCGGATTCTTACCTACAAGGAGGGAGGCAGTTGTGTGTTCGTTGCCAGGCTGAACATCAAGCTGGGGGTGGATCTCCTTTCTCTGCACAGCCTTCCTTGGTGCCAAGGTCTCAACCCCGACCTCTTGATTTGATATTGTGATGTTGGCTGGGTTGTCTCTGTCTCCTTGGCCACATCTGAGAACAGGCTGACCTACGCGCTGAACTCAGGGGCTTACATGACGTTGTGATTCCGTCCCGTCTCTGTGGAACAGCTCGGCGCTGGATTCAAGTGCGGAGATATGACAGGAGGACGCTGACGTGCAATATCACAACAGAAGCGTCTGCAATCTCAAACCATCCAAAGACAAGACCAGGGGAAGGAAGTCCAATTTGGAAGAGGTATACGAATGGGTTCTTGACCTTGTAATTGCGTCCCAACTGGGTGGATCAGAGCAGCAATCCGATATTTCAAACTGACCTAGCTCGTGAACATTCTGGTAAAGATTGCGTGGCCATGGCGCAGGGGGGTCAGGACGGAATATTGATGTGCAGGAGAATGGGTTAAACTAGGTGTGTGTGCGTTGCGCCAACCATCAATGCCAACGAAACGACTCTGGGACGCGCTTTGCAGCGGTTAGAAACCGAGATCTCTACTACAGCGACATGCCTGACTGTCGGAGCGTCAACTCGGTGTGCGAGGGACAGGAAAGGACCTGGCGTCCGGGGAGGTTCCACATCTCTTACACAAGCCTAGTAAACAGAGCCAGTGCGAGGCGAGTCAGGCATTCGGGAACACGAAATCATCTTCACTCAGATCTTCATCTCAGTCCTTCACTCCAGCTTAAGATTGAGTGCTCGCAGCCAGGGGCATCCGGGGACCAGAAGGAGATCTGAAATCGTAACCATCGTGTCAAAATCATATCCCATCAAGGCAACTACCCATTGAACTTTTGAAGAGGTCGAGAAGGCAAGCCACTTGTGTCCATGGATCAACAATAGCAACGACCACCGCTGCACCAACCTTCTCTCCATTGAGCTTTATCAACAGCACTAGGACAAACCGTATTCGTCGGCCACTTCCAATTGTGATTCGAAGGTTTTCCTGTATAGTCCCCGTGGTCCCATAACCGCCATCACTCGACTTTGCTCAACTTCCCGGCGGCAGCTCGTAGTTTTTGTCTCCTCCACGACTGGCGTTTGACATCAGTCATCGACCACCACTCCCCTTTCCTCACTTTTGCTCAGCCTTCAACAGCTTCAAGATCTCGCTGTCCTTATCCCCGATGACGGCCTTCCCGGTACTCCAATCCACGACGACAGGGCGCGTGAACAGGCTCCCATCCTGCTTGACCTTCCTCAGGGCATCACTCTCACTGGCGGCGCCCTTGACCAGGTCCGCGGCACGACCTGAGCCGACGTACTCGAAGATGCTCTTCAGCTGGTCCGGCGTGGGCGGCTGCTCGGTGATTTCCAGCTCGAACGGGTCTCGGGTCACGGTTTTGTTCTGGTGCGAGTGGTCCGAGGCCTGGTCTTCGGTCGCGGTCTGGGCGGCTTGCGCGGAGGCCTGTTTCAGGAGTGTCTGCGCCCGCACGCTCGCGGGGAGGGAGGGCTTGTGGAACAGGGTAATCACATCGAGGGTCTTGGCCTGGTGGTTCGAGACGATATAAATGGTTAGATTAGGTCGAATCATTTATTTACCTCTCTTTCCCTGATGCGTTGACAATCTCAGAGTGTTCGGAGGGGTTGCTTTGATCAGAGGGGAGGGAAAGAACTGGGTGTATATAGGTGCAGTAGTAATTATCATCGGACTCTGAACATACCATGCGAAACATGTTGGATACAAAAGCTTTCATGGGCTTGGGCTGCCACATGCGATATCGTGCGAGCTGGTTCTGGAGCTCAGGAATGAGCGGGGAGAAAGCTATGTAGTTGGTATGGAGTGCTTGTTGAATGGAAGTAAGTGAAGAAGAAGGACGAAACCCTTGTTTTGAGGAGTGGTTCGAAGCTTGCTTGCTCACTCTCTACTCGGCTGCAATAGGTGGACACTGGGATAACGATCAAACACGATTCGGAAGGTTGCGGTCCTCAGGTTCGCGCGAGACAACGAAATGGACTGCGGAGAGTAGAAGTGCTACGTCATTACCTCCCGTCCAACACGTGATGGGCTGTCGACTGTCTCCGAATTGGGACAAGCACAGCCGACACGATGAGTACCTAGGTACCACTTGTAAACGATCCTCCTGAGCTTTCTCCAAGTCTGACCCTCAGCCTTTCCTTTCTCGGTTTCATTTAACCTCCCTTTGGCTGCTACTAGAAGCTCCCCTTTTGCGTGCTGAGGATCACGGCCCTGGTGCAGAATTTCTTGAAGCGAAGTACCCTCAATAACTCTGTCCCCCGGGCATCATCCAGTGCAACACAGAATCCCTCGTACACTTGATGCTCGCGGTCGGCAAATCCAAGGAAGGACGAAAGACACAATAGATGGGCGTCAGAGCAGTCAAGGACGTAGTCGGGGCAAAGCTCACACCATCCGGCACTGATATTATTGCTGGCGACTTGATTAGAGCTATGTACTCTGTCGAATCCTTAGTGTCAAACTCGGGTAGTGTGTGGCGACCAAGCGGCTCCGGGCAAGGTATACCGAGTAGAAAAATTGATGCCGAGCCTCACGGCAACGCCCACCTGCCCCGCCGCTTTAAACCCACCCTGCATGACTGCGGAGGGACCTTGGTTATTACTTGCATTTTTAACATCTTTTATTTCATTTGATTACTCCTTTCGGATTTTTATCTACAACACTGGTCATCGCCAGCGGGCTGCGCTCTGCGCTAGGCGTACCATGTTTTATAGAGCGGTAGGTGATATCTTATTAGTTATAAAAGGTTCTACATCTGGCAGACACTGATCTCCCTCATACAGGTCGTCGTTGCCGACCCGTTGGCTCGATCGCTCATTCGCGCGAGCCCTCGTCGAAGCCTTAAGCGTTCCCGATACAACCAGCCCGCGTGTCGCTATTCCTCAACAGCTGCCTCCGCCTTACATACGAACTTCCAAGAGCCTCCGCTGCCCAACATCGCACCCGAGAAGAATGTGACATCCCCACAAACGCTGACGGAGAAGATCCTTCAACGCTATTCGGTCGATCTTCCGAAGGGCAAGGTTGTCCGAAGCGGCGACTACGTTCAGATTCGACCTCACAGATGCCTCACACACGATAATACCTGGCCTGTGGCCATGAGATTCATGTCCACAGGTGCCACCAAGATCAAGGATCCTTCTCAGCTGGTCTTTGCGCTTGATCACGATGTACAGAACACGAGCCCCAGTAACTTGAAAAAGTACAAGCAGATACAGGAGTTTGGCAAAAAGCATGGCGTCAACTTTTTCGGTGCAGGTCATGGGATCGGCCACCAAATCATGGCAAGTTTCTCCGCCTCGAATTCATACCAGGAATCGTTAGTTTGCTAACGGATGTGTAGGTTGAAGAGCTTTTCGTTTGGCCAGGAACCCTATGCGTTGGATCTGACAGCCACAGCAACATGTACGGAGCTCTGGCAAGCTTGGGAGTTGCCTTGGTCAGGACCGACGCCGCCGGAATATTCGCTACTGGGAAGAGTTGGTTCCAGTGTCCCCCGGTCGTGCAAGTGAATCTTCTCGGCACACTACCCCCAGGTGTCCGCGGGAAGGATGTTATCATTGCGCTTTGTGGGCTCTTCCCACTGGATGTGCTGAACCACAGCGTTGAATTTGTGGGATCGGAGGAAACCATGGCTAGTATTCCCATGGACGACCGTCTGACAATCAGCAATATGTCGACTGAGTGGTCTGCAACATCTGCAATGGTATGGCACCTGTTTGACTTACAGTCTGCACTTCTGAGCCCGTCTAATTCGTCTTCGTATAGTTTCCGATGGACACGACACTTGAACGTTGGCTCCGATACAAGGCTACAGAGGCAGCAATGTTCCCAGATCGGACGACTCGACAACGAATTACACACGAAATGGTTGACGAACTATTTGCCAACCCTCTTCGATCTGATCCCGGAGCGCATTATGCAAAGAAACTCTACCTTGACCTCTCTACTCTGTCGCCTTACATCTCGGGACCTAACTCGGTCAAAATCTCGACACCCCTGCATGACCTCGCTAAACAAAACATCAAGGTAGACAAGGGATACATCGTAAGCTGCACCAACTCGCGAAGCTCGGATCTGAAGGCTGCAGCCAACGTATTTCAAGCTGCCGCTAAGTCAAATGGCGGCAAGATTCCCAAAATTGCAGACGGCGTTAAGCTATACATTGCAGCAGCTTCAGCCAGAGAGCAGGCTATTGCCGAGGATGAAGGTAGCTGGCAGACCTTGGTTGAGGCTGGAGCCACCGTGCTCCCACCCTCATGTGGCCCGTGTATCGGACTGGTAAGTAGTCGCTGCTCCCCTTGTGGAATTTTGTGTGAAATTGATGCTAAACTCCAATGATACACAGGGCACGGGTCTGCTAGAGGATGGCGAGGTGGGAGTTTCTGCATCCAACCGCAATTTCAAGGGCCGGCTTGGATCAAGACGTGAGTTCTCCTCTTACTATTTCAATTGTGTTTGTGGCATATCAGAGGACTGACGGCGAGAAGTGGCCCATGCATACCTGAGCAGCCCCGAAGTCGTGGCCGCCAGCGTCCTGAACGGCGTTCTTTCAGGTCCTGGTGTGTACGAGGTGCCGGAGAACTATAGCGGCGTACAGCACGGTTACGGCACCGGAAAACCTGCAACAATCGAAAACGAGCTCGACAATGCCCTTGAGCAGCTCGAGTCTCTAATCGACAGGGTTCAGACGACTGCTCAAGTCGGCGACGATGATGCCCAAGCAGTCACGAAGATCCTCCCAGGCTTCCCAGCCAAGATAAGCGGTGAAATCCTCTTCGCCGATGCTGACAATCTTGACACCGACAACATATATGCGGGCAAATATACCTATCAAGACGACATGACGACGGAAGACATGGCAAAAGTCTGCATGGAGAATTATGACCCAGAGTTCAGGTCGATCGTAAAGCCCAACGATATCCTCGTCTCAGGGTTCAATTTTGGAACTGGCTCGTCGAGAGAGCAAGCCGCAACAGCTCTTCTGGCCAGGCACATCCCACTTGTTGTGGCAGGCAGCTTCTCCAACATTTTTGTCCGGAACGGCATTAATAATGCACTGCCGTGTCTAGAACTGCCACGTTTGGTGGAGCGTCTTCGAACTGTCTTCCCAGAAAAGGTGCCTACCAGGCGTACAGGCTGGACCCTGACATGGGATATCTCCCGGAGCACGATTGAGGTACAGGAAGGAGAAAATGGGGAACGGTGGGAGCAGAAGGTTGGAGAATTTCCCGAGAATCTTCAGGAGATTGTGGCAAAGGGGGGGTTGGTAGGATGGATCAAGGCTGAGCTTGCGAAGGCTTCCTGATAGACGGCACTTTGCAGAGACAATGAGGTTGGATTAGACTTGGTGTCCAATCTCGATAGATAGATGCGACATGCGCATGTGACCTTTGTATATGGCAGGGAACCAAATGATAAAAGCAATTGTTGACGAAGAGACTATGAGGACCGGCAAGGCACAAGGCTGAGGGTTGAGGGCGCAGCGCAGTTACATAGTCACATGACTTTAAGGGATTTGACGCCATTCATAAGTCAGGTGACCATAAGCCTTGGAACCAATCAGCTACTTGTATTACGAACCAGTCATTGCCCAAAGCGCCCACGTGAACCGGGGTGCTGGGGCTGAGCACAGGGCGGCGTCACGCGCATCCCAGAAGCAGCATCTGGCAGACCGTCATATTACCTCCTCCTCTTGGCAGCCTTACCGACGTCTCCAGTTCTCCAGTTCCCGACTCCTCCAGCTTTCACATACGACACAACAGTAATCGTTCCCTTGAGGAGTGAACGCTGACTCTGATCCCGACGAGGTGGTTTGGCCCAGATCACAAATCCGCAACCACGTGGTCCAAAAAGAGATATCACGGTAGCGTGCATTGGGAGGCCCATCCGTCATCAAATAAGCGAGGGCAAACCCAACGCCACTATTGTTTTCTTTTTTTCTATCTTGCTGCCGCTGTTGACAGATTGTCTGTTTGCTTGCGGATTGGTCCTGACATGCTCAGGGAGAGAGACTCCCAAAAACAAACAACCCTCCTCCTTCTACCAGAGGTCATCCACCAGACAAACTCCAGTCATGAATGGCATGAGCGGTGGTCAGCCTCGAAAGCGACTAGGTCTACTTGACCTCCCCACCGAGGTTCGACATCAGATCTATGCGTATCTCTTCTGTCACAAACCCAACCCCATCACACTGGGCTTCCACGACTTCTACACGAAGTGGGCGACATGGCCACTCTCGGACGAGGCGAGGGAGACGCCGCACGAGCCGACCTTTCACACGGCGCTGTTTCGCGTGAACAAGGCCATCTCGCGCGACGCGCTGCAGTTCGCGTACGGCGCCAACTCGTTCCGCTTCGACAAGGACATCCAGACGTTTTGTCACCTCGGCGCCATTGCCCTGGCGTCGATCAAGACGCTGCGCGTCTACCGCAACGCCTGGCTGAACAGCTCGTACGCCACGTCCTTCTGGAGGACCTTGGACCGACACTGTCCGGGCCTCGAGCTCATCGTCATCGAAGCTGCATCCCACATCTTGCTGGCCGCCATCCCTTACCTCAAGGACTTCATGGCCTCCATCCCCCACGGCCAGGCCAAACCACGCCTGGTCCTCGACCTCAACGTCTGGGATCGGCACTTCTCCTTCGACTTCCCCGACGGAGACTACCAGACCGCCTTGCAGGACCTGCGAAGGACCATGGTCGAGAGTGACTGGAAGGAGTCGCTGGATCCTTACATCTACGTGATGCGCATGCCGCGGCACGTCAAGGAAATCCGCTTCGCCCTGGACCTGGGGCCCGGCGCCTTTCGCGCTCTGGAGGAGGTGCTGAGCCAGTCCTCTGACCTCTGCTTCGTCCAAGCCGACCAAGCCACGTCCAACGCCGCCGGTCACGTTGCCGGTCGGGGAATCCACCGCTGCTTGATCTGGAAAGAAACCGGTGAATGATGATGATCATCAGGAGGCAGAGGGCACGCGGCAGGCAGCACGCGACGCCCCTTGTTTTCCGTTTTTGAAATCAATCTCTCAAACTTGGGTGATTTGTGGGTTCAACATGCAACAGCGGGAAGAGAGCCACGTAACATTTCAACAATAATGTCTCATCATGGAGACCCTGCAACAGGGGGAAACGTGTCTGAGGATTTCATGCCAGCTGCACATGCCACGGAGGCAAGACGCACTGTCCACGCCAGTTGGCAGCTTGTTTGATAAAGCAAGGGCTCCAGATCCGGCACGGTACACGGCTCGCGAGAGTGGTGAGCAAAGACCCTCGTCTTCAAACGGCCACGGACGTGTGAGTGGCTTTCGACGGGAAGCGCTCCCGGGGGACAATATGCTTTGGAAGGGCAAACGACTAATGTACTCCATAGGTACAGTGCAGAACGGGCGCGTTATAAACCGTCTGAAGAATTCAATGCTGGTGGGTGTGTGTGTACCTTACACTTTCTGCCAACGGGCCCTCTCTCCTCTCTCAAAGAAAAGCGCCTCGTCAGTTATTAAGCTGCCCGTTTGCTCCGTACAGAAAACTTCCGCAAGCACCCCAAGGCCCTTACAACATCGCCACTCCAATCGCCAAGGCGGGAGAAAAAGAAATTTGACGGGCACTCAAACGAGCGAAGGTTGTGGATATTGGGCGTCTCTCACAGGACCCCTTCAGCGCCGACAAGGCCAGCCAGACAGTTAGTGCTGTAAGGCTGAGATGCGGCCCAAAAGGCTGGAGCCAATTCTCTTCGAGGCTGTGGCGCTCCTCCGGATGCTAGGGAAATCCTCGCCTCCTCATCCGGCAACTTTTCTGTGCGGATAGGCCGGTTCGGGGAAATGGCACCAAGTCCAAAAGGAAAAAGGGGGCGCCATTATTTCGGAAGCCCACCATATCGTCAAAAACCCTGCAAAGTTAAGGCTAGTCTCAGAAGCTGCCGAGGACTCCAGGGGGGGATAAGGTTTGTGGCAGAGACGCGACGCGACGATCGCGACTTTATATCCGATGTCTCGACCTCATACCGTGAAGAAGAGGTATCAGGCTGTCCTAGCCAACAGATTTCAGTAAACACTGAGCGTCCCTTTTGGGTGGGCGGTGAAACGGAGCTAATCGAAGACGAGTACCTCGAACTTGTATATCTTCTCAATAGGGAATGGAACTATCGGCTCCACCCCATGGAGGCCTGGGGTCTAAAAGCCCGTGGATTGCTTCACGAGAGGCCAAGCCAGAGTTCGGAAAGGGGACCGCACAAACAAAGGCCCAGCACGTCAGTGCCAGGAGCCGGACACTTCGACAATACCATGCCCAATACTGGCAGCTTTTGCCGTGGAACCGATCCACTTTCCTCCAGTCCGCGAGAGAGTTGCTATTCGTGATGCCACCTGCAGATTCCCGAAACATGCACCAAGTACTCGTCGTTGATGCCATTGTTTCTGAGTTCTGGCAGAGAGACGCCGAAATTGCAAGACTCCAGTGATAGTCGCCTCAGCCCTGGAAGCCTGTGGGCGCATCGAGGCAAAAGGCCCTGATGAATGCTTAGACTCCACTCCTCGTCCGGACATACAGAGATCTATTGATTTTCAAGGTCCAGTCAAACACGTAAAATGAACCAAGAATCGGCAAACAGCACGAGAAGCGGTCAGCAGATCGTCAGGTCCGTGACTCCATATGCTGGTTCAGCTATGTATCGCCAGGGGGCAAAGGACTGTGCTCGTATTCATGTAGGTCGGAGGATACAATTTCCGACATGGTGCTTGATGCGAGGTCTAGATTTTTGAGCCAGGTTGGGTAGGAGGCTGAAAATCTGCGACACCCAATGGGTCTGAGGTCTATCTAACTTCGAAACGTCAGTAAGGCTGTATAGGGACGGAAAATTATATACCATGGTACCAGGGAGTTTCCTTCGGAAGACTCTACGAGGGCAAACCAATGGCGCACTATCAGCCCAACGAGCCTGTTGAAAGCGGAGCAGCCCCAGAAACCCCGGCAAGCGGGTGTCAGCAAAGAGGTCGAGGACGCGATCTGCAGGGGCACCTTTTGAAAGTATCGCAAGCGGTATAGCGGTTCGCGTAGGAAGCGCCACCATTGGTTATCCCCTGGAGTTGCTGCTCACCAAGTGCCCACAGGTCCCCATCTGAAAACCCCGGGCACGTTAGTTTGCCTCGTGACAAGCCAAGCTCTCCGAAATTGCTCCTCGCCCTTAGGGGATCAGGTTTGACGTAAAGCGCTTACTTGAAGTCTGGTCTGATAGCGAATCGCATGGAGAGCTCGGCCACGCGACTGACCAAGCTGAAGCCCGAGTATCGTATTGTCTATCTTCGATCCACGAAAGTGCGAAATGGGTGTGATAGTCGACGAAAGCAGCGATCAACAGGGGCCGATCTTGAGGGACCTGCCACGGAATAGTGGGTGATGATCTTATTCCCCAAGTTTGACTGTGCAAAACGGCAGGGCGCACTCTGGTCGCGGGTGGCACCAAAGTTCCATTTGAAGGTTTGAGGAGTCCAGTTTGCATCATTCGCATAAAATGTGTCAAAAGCATGGCAGCCCCAAGCCGCTGGACAGATCGATCTGCTGAAGAAGCAAAAGCGCAGGTTGGCGCCATCTAGTTCCACGGTGGCTGTTTCTGCAGCACAATTCTGGCTGGCTGAACTTCCAGGAAAAGAGCAGAATGGACTGAAGGCGAGTGGAGTATAACTGGATTGGATCCGGGATCCATGTGAAGGACAAGCACAGACCCTGCAAGCGTGCTCGGCGGTCCGCTTGTCAGTGAACGACCGCTTTTAGGGGAATCGCAAAAATGAGGTGGCAGCCACATGGCACTGGAAATTGCTTGATCCGCTGCCAGACTTCAGGTCGCTTGAAAGGGAACCGCCGAATAGGAGACAGCACCAATGCATGCGCCGAGGACTTAGTCCAGAGCTAAAGATCGTGTTACTGTTCGTTAGTCGGCCAAGAGCCATTGTGGTGGTGGGGTTAAGCGGTCACTGATGAAGCTTTAACCGCAAACGTCTCTTGCGCATATACAGGTCCTGCCTGCGGAGTTTGCCTCAGGCTCTGTACTCATGCTCTGTAGAGCTAGAGACGATTTGCAACTCATCTACGGGACAACCCCCAGGAAGGTCGGCGCCGCATATCACACCCATATCCAGACAGTGATTGTGTAGCGTGAGCTGATTCGATGTGGCCCCAGCAAGGTGATGTCTAGCACAAGTTGTGGTGGTGGGGTTGCAGCAGCCAGTCGCACTCTCGGATGAGAACGAGGGAAGTGACAGAAAGGCCATTCTTTGGAGTAATCCATATCGGAAAAGATCCGGGCATACTGTTGGTTGAATCGAGAGTCTCGGCAGCTGTGGCTCCTGGTTACAAGGGAACACCCCTGAAACATCCTTCTATCAACGGCAACGCCGTGAAGGTTGGTGAAGTGACGTCCTTTACGGCGAGCAAACAGTACCAAAGGTTTATTCCTTTTTCCTGTCTTGTACGTTCCCTAAGCCAGACTGGGTTAAGGTCGAGGATTGGCTGGGCATTGAAGATCGGTAAAGAGAATAGCTCTGGTGTCTCGCCTGTTTTGTGCCCCGTACGAGCAGATAGTGCCTGGCACAGAGAGGAAAGGTGGAACATGGAGCATCCACTAGATACAAGTGCGAGTCGATGGCCTGTCGCTGGCAAAAGAACCGTAGGTACGGGGTACTGGGTACTAGGTAGGAAGGTTACCTGCGATGGGGGCCTGTCCAGCTAAGACGCAGTTAGCATCGTCAAGATAAAGACCACAACACACAGACCATCGCGGGCCAAACGACCAGGGGGTAGGGATGACACGTCGGGAAAGGATTTTCCTTGAAACAGTGATAAAAATAATGGGGGAAGGGAAAAGAACCAAATTTGACACAGGGTGGACACTGGACAACCTCAAGTGGTCGCCGGACACGAGTCAATAATACAGTCCTCCGTACAAGGGGGAGGCTACGGGGTATGTGAAAGGTTCAGGGAATTGGAGGAGAAGAAATGCTGTATGATTCTGACAGGGAAATTCAATGATACCATCGGGAACAGGACGAGTCGATACGCAGCCTGGAACAAACAACACGAGGGATGCTTAGTCGACAGAGAGAGAGTGTGTGTGTGTAAGCGAATAATGGTTACTCGGTAGGTACCTAATTACTCGGAAGACACTTTGAGCACCTGGGACTGCTGGTCACTGGGAATAACATCATGTGCTCCGGGTGACACAATAGTAGGCACACTAGACAGATACTAGGTAAGCATCTCAACTAACTCTACAAGTAGGTGCTTGATAGGCTCCCTACTCCCTACCTATTGTAGGTAGGTATTCCGGACTTGTAGGCCCGTCATGAGGAAAAAGTCCAGGTAAGCCCTACAGGTAGAAGAAAAAGAGGGGGGTGACTGTACGGTACTTGACCCGTAACCCGTCAGGTACCTAGTAGGTACCTAGTACCCAAGTATTTCTTCCCTGGAGGACAGAGTCGAGCCGGGAAGCATCGTCACTCGTCTAGAGCTAATTAGGCATGCATCTCAGTAAATGAAGAGCTGCAGCCCGTTTCTCAATACCAACCTAGATACCCAAAGTCCCTCAGGCCACTACTGAGGCACCTCCCTCCGTCCCCCCAAAGCAAGCGCCCTGCACAATGCACTCTGCATTCTGCACACCAAAAACCCACCCCTCCAACTTCCCAAACTTCACCCCCCCTCCTCTTCCCGTCTACTGGTACCTGTCAGGAAATTCTCCACTGGCACCACCCTCGAAGATTCATCACAACTCCCAATCCACCCCAATGCCCCCTCAGAGCTAAGCTTGTTCCAGCATAGCAATGCCTCAGGATCCAATTTCTCGCGATCCCGTTTGGGAATCAAACTCTGGCCGCAGCGCTCGGTCCAGACTGTTATGTGCTTTTTTTCTCCTTCTCGTCAACCTCCATCCACCATCACCACCAGAAACTGAGACCTCCAGCCGACGGGGACCCATGTCAAGCCCATCCCGACTCGTCGTCCTAAAACACGTTCCTCCGTTCAGACCGCAGTTCACCATCTCCCTCGCTTTCTTGACCCCTGCCTCCCTGTCTCGACTCTTAGCCTCTTCCGTCTCCCGCCCACCATCATCCCTGACCAAAACTCTCTTCTCCTCAGCCTGCATGACCACTACAAGTCCTGAAGAGATGGCTAGCTCCACCCCTTCGTTCACGCCAGTGTGTCCTGGCAATCAGCAATCAGCTGTCTGTCCGTCGTTGCCCACATCCAAGCCTATCCCGTACAGCGTTAAAGAGCCAGAAAACACTCCTCCCCACCCGTCCAAAGTCTGCAGTCCGTACAGCAGCACCCATCGCGACCATACCCGTCACATCCTAGCACCTCCTGTCTCCGCTGTCCGTTTTTGACCAGCTCTCTTCTTTTTAGGCGACGAAGGCGACAGGCCCGTCCAGCCAGCCGGCCGCCAGCTGCCCGCTAAGAGCGCCATGTGTTGCCCCGACCAAAAGGATCGCGACCTCGAGTACTCTTGAAATCGAACTGCCCTCGTTGATCAAAATCCTCCTCCCATCCTCTTGTCTGCGTGTGAAAATAACCCTACCTCCACGCCCGCCATCGTCACCTCCGGCCCTCGAGGTATCGAATCCAGCTGTGCTATTTTCTTTTTCCAAAAATCCGCGTGCAGTATCCAGCAGGAGCACCGTCAACTATCGGGGCTTGGTTCAGTCTGTGCAGATCTTTTTCCTCGATTGTCTGAAGAGAGAGGCCCATTTTATCATAAAAAGCCCCGCGACCACTGAGAAAGCCGCACCAGCCAGCCGCGTTCCCAACCCAAGAAACTGATCTTCACCTACGAATACTCCACTACCAACCCTTCTACAAAAGTTGCCAGTCTGCATCGCGTATAGGCACTGTTGAGATAAATCACATAAACTTTGGGTTGCTCTCGAGAACACTGTTGAATCTCACTTATCGACCCTCCGAATAGCCACAATCCATGCCACACCTTCGTTGACTGATTCCAGAGACACTACCGTCTGGTCTTCTCACAATCTCCTTTTTCTACCCGTCGCCAATATCGCCGAGAACAAGATAAGAAAGGGAAGCATTGACTTCTTGCTGGAGCATACTCTGCAGAAGTGTTGATTCTCATATCTCTTAAATCAAAAAATCCAGCGGAACCCGCATTGAGTCTCTTCCCCAGCAGTCACTCTGGCGTCCGTCGCAATTCCCCTTCCAATGGGGACATCCCTCGATGGGCTCACCACACCCTCCAGCCTAAGCCAGCGCAGGCAAACCACCTTCAATCTCGACCTCCCGCCTCCCCATGCTCTCCAGTTCAGTTCTGTGGTATCAAGTCAGAAATTCCCTCCTCTCTCAGGGATCAATACGTCGCACGCTATTGCGCCCATCAACCCGGGAAACCTTTTGACCCCCCCGTCCAATTCAGCCTCGGAGAGCGGCGCTGCCTCATCTGCAATTCCCACGGGGACAACTCCAAACAGCGCAGCAGGCCCGGTGCTACCATATACGCCAACACTATTCGGAACAGGCACCACGCCCACGGGATACCACACGGGCTTCACACCTTCCTGGCAGAATGGATCTCTTGTGTCCGGCCGATCTGTATTTTCACCGATACCAGGCGCCTTGAGGAACAGCACCAACTCCCCTTCAGCCGGAGAAGGCTCTGCATTGCCCCCTCCACCCTATGATCTCCATTCGGTTCAGCCGTACGGTGCCCCTGTTCCGCTCTCTTCTCCCTCAAACGCTGTCCACCAGACAGCCCAACAGAGCATCATATCGCCGTTGTCGAACGGTGTGAAGCCACCCAACCAACAATCCCCTGTGACGCCGGGCGACGGGGTCAGCAGAGCCGTATCAAATCCCGCTTTGTACGCAACCATGACAACTACAGCTCAACAACATCCTGCGTACCATTTTGCAGCCGCACCAGTATCACAAAGTCCGCACCATCATTCCCTTGCTGCTCCTCGAGTTTCGCCGCCACTCCATCAAGGGCCTCAGTCCCAGGCTCCTTTTATGCGCCCTCCTCCGCCCTCATATTCACTGCCTGCCATGCCTGGTGCGATCATGTCCAACGTCCACAGTCCAGGTGCTCAGATGGCAATGGTGGGCAATATGCAAGCCAACATGTTACCCATGGCTTTCAATAGCGGCTATGCGGCAAATGCCCACAGCATGTATGGCCCGGCTCGGAGCAATACACCCCAACAACAACCGCTACACGACCGGCCTTTCAAGTGCGATCAGTGCCCGCAAAGTTTCAACCGTAATCATGATCTGAAGAGACACAAGAGGATTCATCTTGCTGTAAAGCCTTTTCCGTGCAATCACTGCGACAAGAGCTTCTCTCGCAAAGATGCGCTGAAAGTAAGTTGGATTGATCGAGTCTGATTTAACATGAGACTAACTTTTGCGTCACAGCGACATATCCTTGTCAAAGGCTGCGGCACTGGAAATCCCTCCGACGTTACGGCCAGAGAGGATGGTGTCAAGTCCGACTCCGGAAGCGATGGCATCAATGAAAGCCCGGCAGCTGCGCCGGCAGCTTAACACCAGGGCACCCAACTCTGGCCTCACTGATTGCATATTAATCCTTTCTTTGAGCGACTGTACAATATATTATCCTGGGAGGCCCTTGTCCTGTGGATTTATTTTCATTCAGTGGTTTTTGTGGTTATGACTTGATGGATGGCAGCATGCCAGCAACAGGCGGAACGAGATGGATGGATTTTGACGGATTCTTATCGCCAGGAATGGGCATTTCCGATGTACCATGTTGTTTCATTATACCCAGCGGAATGGCATGACAGGACAGGGCTATACTGGTAAAGTGGTTTTCTTTTTCTGGCAGGGCGTGTGGTGGTGAGCATGACAGACTCAAGCCGAGCACCAGGGAGACACCGAAATTTCTGACGGAATCAATAAAACATTAATGAATATAGGTACGTTTGGGTGGCTGTTGGAATGGATGAACCTGGGAGCGTTATGCATGCCCATCACTCAGGGGTTGTGGCCATGACATGGTATCACCGCCCAGAGCACTTTGCGTGTCCACTTTGCGATGTCTTCCGCATTCCCTTTTGTACAGAGGACGAGGTCGTCGCTGTCAAGTTTCGTGTCTGGGAAGACCCCTGTAGACCACGCGACTGTGGCTTGCCAAATGACGCGAGCCTCGCTTGCGGAAGAGGCGCCGACAGAAGCACGGCTTTGCGCCCCAAAAGGCGCTTTGGGGCGTTTGCGGGCCTGTTTCTCTCAGCCTTTCCAAGATTGTGGGGAAGCACTCACTAGGCAATCACGTGTACCGAGCCACTGAGGAGTCGGTGCCCACGTGCCCCACCAGCAGCCGGATGCGTAATGTACGTAGGTACTTCGTACTAGGTAGGTAGGTGCTACCTGGGCTTATTAGGCGAAAGACCTGGGCTTCCTAGGCTTGCTGGACTTGCTGTAGAGTGGACTCTCTTCGTGTCACTCATCTGTTCCTCCCGCAAGAACACAGCTGTGCGCCCAATCAACAACCCTTGATCCTGTGCCAATTGACAGCCTTGACACCGAAGCAAATGCAATACAACCTATCCGGAACCAGGAACCGTCCAACCGCGCAGTGAGCAATTCATCCACTGTCACACAGCCAGAGCGATTTGTGCAGTCCTCCGCACCTCGACCTAACCTGCCTGGTACCAATACCCACCATGAAAAGGTTGCACGATCTCAACGGTTAACAGACACGAGGAAGGCTTCCTACTCCTCCAGAAAGAGCTACGGGTCGTTAGAAGCTGGGCGAGGAAAAAAAGATAATCTCAATCTGGAAATGGCTGCACAAAACACCCACACAGAGACACATACAACACGTACTGCACGTATGCAGTCTCACTCTCCTTGACCCTCGTCCTTCTCACCCAACCTCTCTCTTCCCCTCTCCACACCACACGCACGCGCACGTAGTCGGCAGACAGACAGAATCATCTATGATCATGACATCCAGCAAGGCCATGCATAGACCGATGCCTCCGAACCCAATTTTACGCAAGGCGGAATCCAATGTCCACGCTCGTTCCCAGCCATCCGGATGCAGCTAAGTGCGGGCTTGTCCTTGTGTCATTTGCTCCAGCACAAAGTTTACCTTGCAGCTGTTAAGCGAACGACTGCGCAAATCACCTCTTCATTCCCTCCCTCTTTACTCCCTCTGCAGCGGTCGCCATACGGTCTTGTACGTCAAACTCATGGTGGTCATGTTTTGCAAAACACAGTCCCCGCCCGGGAAACCCACGTTTTCGCCTGCAACCCTCCCTCACACGGTCCGGTTGTCCAACTGACAGAAACAATCTGTTGTAGGTATTCCCCGATCGATCGGCGCTACCTCGTACCACCCTGAAAGCTCCACATATCGATCTTGCAGATCGACTTCTCCGACCTCAGATCGAACCTTGTTTCCAACCCATCCTTCTCTCGCGTCACGCCATGATGCTTGCTCTGCTGCCTTTGTCCTGCTTCAGCCACAAACCGGCCCTTCCGCCAATCCATCAGTTCCCCAACATCTTGACACATTGCCAACGCCCTGCTGGCCATGTCTTGCCTTCCATTCACCCTCGACTTGCTCCCAAGGTTCGGCCTAAGTTCCCAGATGCCACCCTTTCTGACTCCGCTCTCTCGACGTCTTCCCCCAATGATTTCATGATGCCTTATCCTTGACCGCATCTACACACGGCAGAAATAGTCTCGTAGGGCATGTCCTTCCTGCACCATTGGTCATCCAACCTCTTAACCGGTAGGCAACGTACAAATCTAGGTATACTCTGCCTCTAGGACACCCTGGCCAGACCCCGTCCACCACCTGTAAAGGCCAATATTCTGCCATCTGTCGCCAGCTGATTAGCTAGGATCGTTTGACTTGTCTTTGCGTGCCGGTTCTTTCAGTCTTTGGTTCTCTTACAGTCCCTTCGAGATTCGCCCTTTTCATGGACTCCGAATCCTCGAATCTTCAAAGCCTGTCCTGTTCCCCTCCAATATTTCCATAAATCAACTGCTGGGCCTAGAAAGCACTTGTCGGCGGCACACGTTCCACGATTGCTCTTTGGCACGTCTGTGCATCTGTTGAGAACCTTGAAGGTTGCAAGGCCATCCTCCTAGTCTCATTGAGACTACCTACAGTCCAGTGGAGGTCTGGAGACCAGGGCTTTCTTATGATCGAGGAAGCTCCTCGGCATTGCACCTGGCTCAATGACCACCCATCGTGTCTTGATATACTTGTTGCGACGAGACCTCCGACTTCCAGATAATCCCGTCTTTCACGAGATACATCAACTCTCCCAGCAGGCGCAAAAGACATTCACTCACGTTCTCCCTGTATATGTTTTTGCCGCCCAGCAGGTCGAAGTCTCCGGATTTGTCACCGAGCCTAGCTCCAAGTCGCCTTTCCCCGAGGCGCGTTCAGAGGTGGGAAAGTTCTGGAGATGTGGCCCTCACAGGGCCAAATTTCTCGCCGAATCAATTTGGGACCTAAAGTCTCAGCTCGAGGGGGTGGGTAGCGGTCTGTGTATCCGCGTCGGCATCTTAGGTCAGGTGGTGGAAGACATCCTGGACCAGTTCCGTCAGGCAGACGAAGCATCTGTCTCAGCACTATGGATGACAGAGGAGGAAGGTGTGGAGGAGAAGCGGGAGGAACGGGACGTACGCAAGGCTGCTGAGAAGTTTGGGATCGGCTTCAGGTTATGGCTGGATGAGAAATACTTCATCGATGAGTATGTGTGCACAACAAGTGGGATATTGTGCGAGACTGACGTGTCATAGCCGAGATTTGCCGTTCGACAAGCCTTCTGATCTTCCAGATGTCTTCACCACCTACCGGAAGTCAGTAGAGCCGTTGAGGGAAGCGCCACGTAAAACACTACCCTCGCCGCCATCATTGCCTCCGTTGCCAACGTTAGTCCCGTTGCAGACCCCTCCATTTTCGATACCTGACACGTTCGAGAAGTTGGAATCGGCCCTGATGAAACCGCTGATGGCCAACCCTCCGCTCTCCAAGCCACCTTGTTTTCCTGCTTCAGGAGTCGCTTCTGCTCATCCTTTCCATGGGGGCAATACAGAAGGAGAAAAACGGGTAGAATTCCTGGTGAAATCGGGGCTCATGACCAGATACAAAGACACCCGCAACGGTCTGTTAGGGACGGATTTCTCTACCAAACTTTCGGCTTGGCTGGCGCTCGGGTGTATCACCGCCCGCCAAATACACTCCCAGCTTTTCGAGTTTGAGGAAGGGAGGGATGACCGATATCGGGCCGCAGAAGGATATGGGAAGGGGGAAAACCCCGGCACTGCTGCTGTACGATTTGAGCTCTTATGGCGAGACTACATGAGGCTCTCTACACGAAAATTTGGCTATCGGTTGTTTCGGTTGGAAGGGTTCCGGAATGAGCACTCTTTCGCGTGGAAGACACCTGGCAGCAAAGGCAGTGGCCCGGAAGTTGCAGAGATGCTGGATAGATTTCTGCGCGGGACAACTGGGACAACCTTTATCGATGCAAGCCAACGCGAGCTCTTCCATACGGGATACACAAGCAACCGAGCTCGACAAAACGTGGCGAGCTTTTTAGCAAAGCACCTGGGCGTGAGCTGGAAATTGGGGGCCGAGTGGTATGAATGCATGCTGACGGACTACGATGTCAGCTCCAACTGGGGCAACTGGCAATACGTGGCTGGGGTGGGGAATGACCCTCGTGGCGAAGCCAGAGTCTTCAACCCGATCAAACAAGGCTGTGATTACGATCCCCGAGGTGAGTATTGCAAGGCTTGGGTAGAAGAGCTGCGTGGTCTACAGGATGCGCAGGAAATATACCAACCGTGGAAAGTGAGCAAAGAAAGGAGGGCCGAGTTGGGACTGAATGGACTCGACATGGTTGAGCGTCCGTTGAAGAGAATCGATTTTAAGGTCGGCGGCAAAGGCAGAGGCAGTGGGAGTGGCCGGTACGGGGGGAGTAGTCGAGGAGGAGACAGGGCGCGAGGGCGGGGCAGCGCCAGTTTTGGGACGAGGGGAGGGCATCGTGGCCGGGGGAAGAGTGATGCAGGTCGAGAGCAAGGCCATCATGGAACAGATTAGCGGGCGAGGCTGGTGGACCGGAGAATGCGAGGATGTGGCCAAGGAAGACGGGCCTTTCGAATTCTCGGACTCGTGCGGAATAGCGAGATGACAGATGCTGCTGAGCGCAATCCTATGGGAATGGAGGTGGCAGCTTTCGGTCAGGATGAAAGGCGAAGTCGGATCAGCAGCAAATTGGTGTCGCCAGCGTTGATCATCATTCACCACATGCTGGTGGATGGGGATTGTTGCTGGATACTCCGAGGCTGGAATGGAAACATCAATTGGACCGTCGGGGACATTGACCAGTTGCTGGATGGTTGGAAGGAAAGAAAGCAAGCGAGCAAGGACCGGGAGATGGAACAGCCCGAATGATAGACCAGGCATCTCTTGTGTCTAGCACCCTGGGTAGAGGAGTACCGAGTAGGAATTGTTGGGTTGGAGGCAGACTCGAGGAGAGGAGAGGAGGAGGAGGATTGCTCGCTTTCTGTTCCAAACGGGGGCTTGTGGATGCCGTCGAGCCGTGTAGGGCGAGTCACCAAGGGTGAGTGATCAACCAGGGCGCCCAGCACCAGCCAGGCTGCTACCAAGTACCGAGTAGAATGGTTGGTATTTGATGCACTCGGTAGTCGGACTGGTACAAGTATAATGAATTTCAGATGTCTTTGCGATATTCATTGATTGTGCCTCGGCATCTGTTGATCGCCTGCGGTTCATCGTCCATCTCCACGAGTCCCAAGTTTACCAAGACTGCGCCAGCCTGCGCCAGCCTGCGCCGGCGTCTCCCACAACCAAACACCTTTCTAGGTAGTCCATCCTCCGTCAGTGCTCGTATACCTCGTACAAATCAAATCGATGTTGCTCCCTCCTTTCGGAGCTGAAACCTGTTCCGAGTCAAGCCCCAACATTGTGCCTTACAACCCAAAAATGCCTAACTGGACGATCGACCTTGACCTCGTTAAAAGGCCCGTTTCGGGCTCGAGCAAATTGCATTCCAGATCAAACGTCATCAGCGTCTTTACACCTGGGCCGTCGGAGGAATAATATCCCACCAGAGAGCGTGCACTGACACGCACTGACACGCATTGCCACGGGGGGTGATACATAACCAGAGTAACCTCCTCTTCCACCATCAGCCCCGACACTCAGGTCGGATTCAAGAGCTGCCGAAAGGGATGGTGTCCTCGTAATTAGCTGAGACCTCATCTCGTTCTCGGTCTCGCTTGTCACTACTTGTTTGTGCCTTGCTGACATCGGTCGGTTACAACCATCACTTCTCATTTGGCGGCCGTCCCGACACTCTCTGACACCAAACCCGAACCCTGTCTTTGCCTCCTGGACTGAGGCCACCCACCTGGAGAACTTGCTTATACGAGGGAGCTATTACGATCCCTCGAAGCTGAATAAATAACACCCTGGACGACCATCAAGTTGGAACCAGTTCCTGACCATCTTCGTTTCCGTCCTTGCGGCCCCTTCAATCGTCTTAAAACCTCCAACCATGGCGATCATGTCGATACCTCACCTTCCCATCCCCGTCCTTCTCATTGCTCTTGTTGCGGTCTATGCCCTCCATCGGATCTACTATGAGTTAACCACCGGTGCCAGGAGGCGTCGAATGATCCGGGACAATGGGTGCGAGGAGGTGGTGTGGTACCCTCATAAAGGCATCATGGGCAAACTCTATGGAGTGGACGTGATTAAGCAGATGGTCCAATCCGGCAAGGAAGGTCGGATGAACGAAGCGACTCGACTCCGAAACTTCAGCAGTGGCAGAAACACCCTCAAATTGAGGATGGCCAAAAACACTGGTACGTATCATATCCCTGAGGGGCTGTACAGGCCAGAGAAGGCCGAGCTCATTGAGTGACTAGTCATTTCCACTATCGAGCCTGAGATCATCAAGACAATCCTGTCCACCAAGTTTCAAGACTACTCCCTTGGTAAGAGAAGGAGGCAGGTCTTCCTCCCCATCTTCGGCCACGGTATCTTCGCAAACGACGGCACGGCTTGGGAGAGATCTCGTGCCATGGTACGACCCAACTTCACCCGTCAGCAGGTGGCCGACCTCGACATGTTCGAAGCCCATGTCTCCCATCTCATCGACTCCATTCCTCGCGACGGATCCACGGTCGACTTACAAGATTTGTTTTTCGGCTTGACCATTGATTCGGCGACCGAGTTCTTGTTTGGTAGATCCACAAACAGCCTGGCGCCAGGTCTGGAGACCAAGTCCGCCAACGAGTTTGTCAAGGCCTTTGTCTATGTCACGGAAGGTACGTACGTTCTCGTGGGTTTTTGGTGACAATCGTCAGCTGATGTATGCGATTTCTGGTAGCTTGTGGCAAGAATTTCCGCACGGGAGGTCTGACTGATTACATCCCGGACGCACAATGGCGGAAGAGTGTGAAGATTATTCACGATTTTGCCGACGAAATCATCCACGAGGCTATGGAGGAGCTGAAGTCCGGCAAGCAGGATCCGAACAGTCGCTACGTCTTCCTCCACGCCTTGCTCAATCAGACTCAGGATCCCTACGCCCTCCGTTCGGAATTGCTCAATATCCTGCTCGCGGGTCGTGACACCACGGCAGGCTTGCTGTCAAACACCTGGCACGTCCTATCGAACCGACCAGACATTTGGGCTAAATTGAAGGCTGAAGTGGATGAGCTTGGCGGCGAGAAGCCCGACTACAACACCATCAAGGATATGAAGTATCTGAAATGGGTGCTGAACGAGTCCCTCCGACTGATGCCGGTCGTGCCCGGCAACAGTCGTGAGGCCATCCGTGACACTATTCTGCCTCTTGGTGGAGGAGTGGATGGCAAGGCTCCCGTGCTGGTGAGAAAGGGCCAAGTGGTGGCGTATTCACCGTGGTCAAGTAAGTCCCTACGCAAAAGAGAACACTTGAAGCAGCTGCGACGATACTGACGAGTGTGGGATAGTGCACCGGCGTAAGGATTTCTACGGACCCGACGCGCTAGAGTTCAAACCAGAGCGATGGGAGTCTCTCCGACCAGGCTGGGAGTACTTGCCGTTCAATGGAGGACCACGCATCTGTGTCGGCCAACAGTACGCCTTGATGGAGGCGTCTTATGCCACCATCCGATTGATCCAGACTTTCCCACGGATCGAGAGTCGAGACGACAGGGAATGGCGCGAGTGGTTGACGGTGACGCTGGCTTCCGGTGTTGGTACCAAGGTTGCCCTCTTTGAGAAATAAAGAAATCAGAAAACAGGATGAGCATGTGGAAGGTGATGGCTACGACAAGCAGACGAGGCACATTCATGATTTAATGGCTAACATCATTGGCGATGTACTTATACCCACAACAAAATCCACCTTTCTCCTCGGGAATTCTGTCTGTACTTTTGGGGTTTCTTGGTCGGGCACGAGAGAAGCAGGAGCAGCAACAAGGAATCGAGGCCGTTTCCTCTCTATACTACTAGCTCGAGGTTCTCACGGTACCCGTATGCACAAGACTCGTCTCCTCCGATTCGTGGCTTCAAAAATCTTTTCCCCTCGACGTACTCGGGTCGAGGCGAATATGCCAGCGTTATTGAGATGGCAACCGGGATCCCAATTAAGCGGATATGTACAGGCCACGACAAGGCAGAATGATTTTGTAGAGGGAGAGAAGGGGCGAGCCCTGTTCTGTTTAGACGAGTCTGCCTTACCGGGTCTGGGTGTACATACATCCATGAACTTGTTGATCCCCTACTTCGGATTTGACTTTTTGGGTGGTTGTTTGGTGGGTAGGATTCCGACCTTGGTTTTGCATTAGTTTTTCCTTGTCATTGACGGTATGTAACAGCAGGCGTAGCGGCTGTAGCACCACAGTTCTTTGTGCCCTACAAGTGCGAGGGGGGAGGGTGAGTCCCAATAATGACCTTGTGTTGCGGGGGGGCCATTATTGGCCTCTGCGCCCTTGGGGCCTTGGAAGAGGCGGGAAAGGGGTGGGGAACGGGCCACCCCATGCGTCATTCTACCCGCGTGGAATTTTCTGTTTGGGTGGCTTTTTTAACCAGGAAGGGGAGCCTAGCAGGGCTTGGTGGCTCCCCCGGACCATTATTACTTTGGGTAGTCTTGACTACCTATGAGTATTCTCGGTACCTACAGTCCTCATACATAGGCACCTAAAGACTTCCCCATATCATTTGTCAGGTGAGCTGGGCACTCTGCCACTGCGCACCCACTGGTGCCACCTACCTACTTGGAACAAGTACTTTTAGCGACTCTCGAACCCACTTTTCGGCCTCACAGCTGACGCCTGAAGGCCCCTGTCCGACTTGAGCCACGCAGCCCACCAATAATACTACTAACTCCAATGTGTTCAAGGTCGCCTTGCCGAGTCCAAGTCCGAGGGAACATTGTCTGTAGGTACAACCACCCGTGCAGCGTGACCCGACGATCTTAATGCGCCCCAGCATCCACCACCCCAGTTCCGATATGCGTCTTTTAGCGAAGTCAGTCCATGCCATTGGGCTGCTTCTTCTCATATGGACACGCGCCCGCAGCTGAAAGTAGCGACAATTGCTGTCCATCTTCGACTCGTTCACTCTCATCGTCGTCGCAGTCTCAGTCACCGTCGCCAAACTGTTCACTCCCCCCGACGCCCTCAGTGATCACATCAAACCACTTCTTGTCAGCTCCTCTTGTCATCTCATTCGTCTCTTGCCCTGTCGTCCACCCCCAGTTCGTCTCACTCAGCTCGTTCACTGCGACTATCCATCGTGAACCCGTGCTGGTCGGTGAGATTCCCTTCAGCTTGCGACTCGACCGAGCAACATCGATCACCCCCTCAGAGTTCCACGAGCTGCGTCTTAGGCCAGTCAATCGGAGACTGCGTCGCACAGCGACCCGATTCGGTGGCGGAGAGGGCTTCACCGCCGTTGCAACGAAACTTTTTCTTCCAAATCCCAACCTTGTCCCCTCTTAATCTCGGGCGCATTTTCAAAGTCTCTGTCTCCATGGTCTCATGGCGGAGACATGACCAACTCCCGTCTTTGACTCGATAGCTTCCAATGGCCCCGACAACCATCCTGACGCGCCGCAATGAGAGCGGCACGGTTGGCACAGGAGAAGGCGACTGGCGAGCATCTGCCTCGGACGAGGACTTTATTCTGGAAGGATGGTCTGAGGGCTTCATGGTCGGCGCGCTCGTCATTATGGCATGCATTACCGTCGCAAATATGAGGAGGGGTGTTCTCTTGCACAAACTGATTTTGGTCGAGGTAAGTTTGGGTCATGGTTGTGGACTGCTCCCCCGAAAATACCTGGTATGCAAGGCTGACACAGCGAACTCGCTCGCCTATAGCAACTTGCGGCACTCTCACATGGTAAGCATGTTGGCGCGAACCCCGCGCAAGCTCCTCCAACCTTTCTTGTGACAGACAGGTTAATTCACGGCTCACAGGAACATTTTGTTTCATGGATTTCTCGGGTTACGGGTGGTATTTGTCGGCGACCGCCACCCTGTTGTACATGTCCTGGATCGTGCACAACATCGTCGCCTGGATGAAGATCAAACCTTTCTTCATGGACTCGAGAAGCATGTTCAAGCCTGAGACCGGCAAATGGGTCCGGAGGATATACCTGGGGACCTTGGCCCTGACGATTCCTTTCATCTGTTGGCAGATTTCGAACAATTTTCGCTTCTTCAACAACATCAACGACTTTTACGTCAAAGTCCGCCCTTACGAGCCGCTCATGCGAGACCCGTGGTGGGTTTTTACCTGTCTGACCCTGTTCTATGTCATCAACTCGGTGTATGGGACGGGAGTCTTTGAACTCATCAAGCGATCTCCTCGGTTTGGAATTCTCCTTTGCGCCATCTGTTTCTCCCTGATCTTCACTGCGGTGGACATTGCTGCAAGTATCCACAATTTCACCGGTAGTATTGACGGGTATGTTCCCCCTCCTCCAAGTTCCAGGCTGGTCCGTGATCCGTGCGCTGACAAAAGGCGGGACAGGATCAATCCGTGGTGGAAACTGAGTTTGGTATTCAAGTGCCTGACGGATACAATCATGCTCGACGATTTCAAGACCGAGCTGAAGCGTCTCGGCATCCGACGCATGCGCAAGGACGAATTAAGGAGGCATAGCTTTGCCCTGGTCGGCGACCCCAACGACTACAAAGAAGGAGATGATCAAATGGAATTCTCCGACGCTTTGAACACGAATCCTCTCCAATTCCAGACGATGCACACTCTGGATGGCAGTCCAAGAAGCAGCCCAATGGGCCGTTTGCGTCAAGATTCAATCACCAAGTCACCAATGAACGAGAAGGAGGCCCTTGGAAAATCGGGCAAGAAGATCTCCAAGCTGCCGACCCTGAAGAACTTCTCGTTTGCTTCCGGGCCTCGCAAGACGGTCCGCATCCAAGACCCCGAGACCGAGGGTCAAGAGCGAGACTCTCCCCCTCCTGCTCCCCCCGCTGCCGATCGCCTGGCCGATATGAGACGAAGTCTAGGTGTTATCGACTACCACGGTCGTTGAAAAGAACCCCTTACCAATGTCCGCAGCAGATGCCACCAATATCTTACGCGCTCAATGAATTCACGACGTCATGTCCTGTATCAACATTGAAATTTCCAGAGTGGGAAGACTGTGTACATAACTTCAGCCACATTGAGGTATCGACTCGGGCTCGGGCCACCATTGGTGCCTGATCTAGGGGAATCCATGTTTTCCAATGTGAAAAGCCTGATGCGAAATCTCGAACTGTGCCTTCCATATCGCCTGCTGCTTCTCTGCTGACCCAGCCTCACTTGCCAACCTGCTCAATGACTTCACTGCTTTCCGTTGGCATGTCCGATTTCGTTCTTGAGGAAGCAGCTGCTTGGTCCTCTGCCGCAGGTCTCCATATATCCCACGGCTTCGACCATGCGTCCCGTCCAATTCTCCTCCCATCTCCACCACTTCGGAGACATTGATTTGTGACATTCAGGTATTCGATATTGTGCATACTAAATCGTTTCATACTTCATTTGCAGCTTTGCTCCCTGCCACTTCCGACGCTCGCCTGCCTCTGTTGTTTTGCTCCTCTCGCCATCTGTCTTGCGTCTCGCTGCTCAGCTCACCACCAGCACATCCGGGTTTGGCTGCTCTGCTGTCGCAATGGCTACTCCTCCGAGGTTCCCGTCACTTTCTCCTGATCAGAGTCAGATCTCGAGCTACGAAGCGGACGGCATCGAGCCAAACAACACAGACACCGATGACTTTCAGCGTGGGGGCCAAGGAATGTCATCACGTCCACTTTCAGAGATTACCTTGGTAGGAGCAAGCCGTTGCTAGCATCATCATCATGCTTTCTGATCTTCGACCCACAGGTTGATAATCCGCCCCCGTTTTCTCTCAGCCAGATCGATGGAACCGACGCCCTAGAGATCGTCCGACGTCCTGTCCACTTTCGCATCGACGGAGACCACCAAGCCCGACTGCATCGAGCTCTTTTGCGGAAGAGCTTGCGACCTTGCTTGAAGACTATTGCGAAAAAGGTCTTCTTCCTAGGTTACTTTATCTCCAATGGCGCTATGATGATTCGTAAGGCTATGATGACAGCCCACAACACACGAATGCAATTCAGCGAGGCCTTGGGGTGGACGTTTCTGCATTTCATGATGCTGATCGTCTTGCTGGTGCGGTGTGTTTGGCTCGACATTCTCTCTGCTCCAATTGGTCTCTCAGGCAGTGCCAGGGTTGCTGCTGCGTGGATTGGCACCTCGCTTCTAGCAATCGGACTCGGGGGTTTGCCCATTTTCTTCATCTAGTGCGTGTTGTACGATGGCCCGATGCCTGGCTCAAGTGCCTATTAGGACATGCTGTTCTGGGGAGATGAGCAAGATTATCGTTGAGGGCTCATGTTGTGATACTTCTGGCTGTGGAACTATGGGTTGGTCAAGCAGAAGCAGACGAGGACCTGGGCCTATAATGGGCTTCAATGAAAGGTATATGAGACGTACTGTCAACGGGTCGAGAAGTGAAGGGATGTCGGTGCTCATTCGCTGTCGAACGGTATCTAGAGCAATTGTATTCGACCGTCTCCTGGCGTCTCTTGCTCGTTGGGGTGACTTGACTTGCTCTCTCGTCAGCTGTAGTTTGCTCATCAGATTTTACCTTGCCTTGATCGTTTGTTCTGCATGGACCACGCTAAGCGTATTGTCTAGATGGATGGGACGGGGCATTTGGCTGATAGGGATACGTACAGACCAACAGGACAGCAAGGCCTCGAGGCTGTACACTGTACGGTGTTCGGTGTCCGGGCTCTGGCTGGTACTCACACTAATGAATCACTCAAGGCCACCGAGAAGAATGGGCACAAGACACAACTACTAGCCAGGCACATATTGTGTCGACATGAAAAGCAATGGAACAGAAAAACTTCATGTGATGAATCTGGATTGTGTAAACTAAGCTAAAACTAGGAGATACCATGCAGCCAGCATCTGGACAAGGTCCGAGCCGTAGAATGGTTGACAATCGCCGGTAAACTCAAGCGCACCCTCATCAGAGGCATGGACGAGAATACCTGCTCGACTGTGCTTTTTTTTTGTAAATTTCCTTTTTTTTTCCCACAAAAGCAATCAATGTTGAGCTGGGAGGAGCCCGTTAAAACTAGGGCTTCGCCTTTTGTTCAGAAGCAGAGGCTTCAACTGCTGTAAGAGCTCCGAAGCACCGTTCGTATGTTTGGCCCGTATGGGTTCGGTGACTGATGCATGGCAGTCATCTGGCTGTATCGTACTCGGACAAAAGAGTGGTAAGGTGAAAGCAGGCTGATCTGCAGGGTTCCATCTCCAGAGGTCAGACCATGTCTGTCTTGGTGACTCTGAGAAGAAACTCAGATGTACCACATGGCGAAGACGATGCCGTTGACGTTGAAAAGAGGCATCAAAGGCTTGACCTCGGAGTCGGAAGGTTCAGAACTCCTGCTAGGGTTCTGTTGCTTGAAGCCTGCACCGCCTTGAGGACCAGCAGTGGCCGGAAGATCTTCATGCGCCTTTGCACGGTTGGAGGCCAAGTGAGCGTAGTAAACCGCCGGGTGGAGGGAAACCGAAGTGGTCGAGCGCATGTATTGGTAGCAGTGCTCGTATATCATGTTCTGAATGAGCTCAGGGCGGTGATTGGTCTCGTCAAGGAGAACAGAGTAATGAACAGGTCGGGAGGTTCCTTGCAAGGCGGTGTGAGAGTACAGATAAAAGTCAAACTCATTAGGAGTGGTGACATCTCTCTCAATCAGCATGCCTGGAACCGGGTTGCCCTTGTTGTCGGCGCCATCTCTGTCAGGGAAGCAACGGATGTGGTGGCGCTTGTTGGCAACGATGACGGTGACTTTACCCTCAAATTTGTGGCCATCCATGCAAGACTCGATGACCTTCTTGATACAAGGCACTTCTTGATTGAGGACATGCTCGAACTGATTCGTCGACACCCCGTCGCGTATGTAGTAGACTTGTTGAGGAGACCGGCCGTTTCCGACCTGAGACATCCACTGACTCACGAGTGGCCGCAAGATGTTGCGCCAGTTGACCTCGGAGATCATTTCGACTCGATGGCCGTTGGTCTGGCATGCCGCTGCGTACCGTCCACCAAAGCGATCGTATGACACAGTCACAGCCGCCATCGACGCCTGTTGACTGCCAGGTGATGCGTGCGAGACATCAGCCCCAATGATCATTGTCGGCACCGAGAAAGTTTTGAAACCACTGGTCGCGTGAGGTACGGCTTGAGATGTAGTGCCGCCCAACTTGGCATTGACTTTCATCAATACATTCGAGTAGTACTGAGGGTTGCCCTTGAGGACCTGTTGGATCTGCATCACCTGAGAGACCACACCGAAGCGACAGTCGCAAGACTTCTTGATACGAAGATAATGGAACGAATTGCGATCTTGAACCAAGAAAATGAGAAGCTGAGGTCGACGGTTGAACTTGTTGCCGGTGGCTTGATGCAAGGCTGCAACGGCAGCGCCAACATCTTGGTTGAGAGTTGTGACATATGGCGGCGCATTCGCAACTTGTCCCCCATGGTTTCGATAAGCGCGTGCAAAGTCAAGAACAAACTGGTCAATCTGAGCTCGATCGGGTCTGAGACGGCCGGTGAAGACGCCAACACCCCAAGAGACAAGCTCCTGCGGGTTGCGACTGAGGAAAGTCTTTGCTTTGAGGTCCCAACGGCCTCGCGTACCGACCTGCTCAGTCTTGTTGCCGAACTTGATGCCAGGAGCTGGGAGGATACGTGCATTAGTCTTGATGGGCGTCGGGGTGATGCGAAGTCCGTAATTCTTCAAGTAGTCATCACCATCCCAGTTCAACCAGCTCTTGCCTTCGTTGATGGCATTGAGTCGGACATTCGGGGGCGAGACGGCAAATTTGATCATGTTGGCAGTCTGGATCTCATCCAATTTCGCACCGTATCGTTGACCCTCAAGGATGGTGAGGAACTCCATAGGGTATTTGACACCCTTCTTGGTCATCTCTACCAGGCGGAGTCTGGGGTGATGCAAGGTGATGTTGTACTTGCGCTTGAAGTAGTGCGCCACGGATACCATCTCACCAGTGGGTGTCTTCGTGACCGGGTCTTTCCATTCAAGCATCTCCTCGTTGGCATTGTTGATATCAAACCGAAAGATCTTCCACTCCTTTGCAGGGAGTGGATTGCCCTTGTAAACAGCCTTGACCTCGACCCCCTTGAAGGCTCTCTCCAGAGTCTTGTGGAAATCGCTGGATTCTCGATGGCCATTGTTCTGATAAGGCTCCATTCTATTTGCGACATCATTGATGTCCTTGATCTCTCGCCACTTGGAGACAATGGCCGACGCCAAAGTAGTCGGTTTCCAAAAGCACGTGTTGGCGACATCGACGTTGATGATCATTTTCTTGCCTTCGGCAAGACGCATCGACTGGTAGACACCGCGCCAGACCTCGATGCCACCACCCAGATCGGCACGTTGACCTTGACGCCTAAAGAGGCTGCGACGGATCGGGATGAATTGGGGCGACGAAGACGGACTTTCTCGGAGAAGATGGTCCAAGAAAATGATGCACTCTGCGACATTCTGGTTCATCTGGATCCGGCCGTCAAGGAATTGCTGGATGAGACTGATATCAAGCGAACGAGTACGCTTGATGAGAAGACGAAAAGCATTTCTACCCTCTCGAGAAGGACGGCCTTCTTCCTGATCGAGATCCACCATGAGGCGAATTTCGTTGTAGTCACACAAGGACCACGCGAGACGATTGCCATCGAAGATGACGGGCGGCCCAGTAGCGTTCTTTCGAGCTTGTGAACCCCAGACTTTGCGGTTGATAACTCGCTTCTCCTGGCCATTGCCGACGATGACATCGTATTGGAAGACTTTCACCGTGGGATACTGTTGGACTTTGAACGCGTTGAGGTTGGCCGTAACCGCTTTCCCTGTTTGGTTGTACCCTGGACGCTTTGCATATTGGGTTGGAAGGCTGTACTGTTTGTGATAGTCAGCACGAGGCCCGACAATGTCAGGGACGAGGTGCATATAGCGCTCTAATCCTTCGGGGACGTAGGGAATTTGGAGCACTCCAGACACCAAGGAAGAGATAGAAGAGTTGCGCTGTGGCCGGGATGGGGAAGCAATTCCCGGGCCGCCATTTTGGCGAGATGGAGATGTAGGGGAGGGGCTGCTCTGCGGACGAGATGGCGATCCGGGACCAGAGCCGCTTGGCAAACGAGATGGGGAGGAGGGAGCAGGGTTACCTGCACCAGAACCAGAGCCTCTGGAAGCAGGAGGCGCCATGTTTGCAGGGAATGGAAGACGATGTGTGAGATGAGAAAAGAGAAAGTCAAGGTGTAAGGGCGAAAGGGGGTATAAATAGTCCAGGGCAAGAACTGCTCCCGATCTATGTCGTGTGAAGGGATTGTAGACTCAATGAGAAGCATCACTGCGCAAGACAATGTGGGTGAATCGCCGGAGAATGTACAATGCAGACAATAAGAGAGGCATTGAAGGGATCCGCAATGAAGATCAAACAGGAGTGGTGACACGCAGTGTACGGGGAGTAACGGGGTGAATAGCGTCGAAAGGGGGAAGTGACATTGAACGGCCGATCTGAAGAGCCCGACACTCTGCAAGGCGGTGAAATGGGGGGATGAATGTCTTTGACAAAATGAAGGGTGAGAGTGCATAGCAAGCGGGTGAAGCAGTAGTCGGTGTAGTGGAGCAAACAAAGAAAGACATTTACTTACAAGCTGATCAATGTTGTAGAACGATGCTGGAAGATCGACATTTCGCATCTGATCCGTGAATCTGGACGGTCTGTCTTGGGCTGGATCACCTCGAACGACAGGCCCTTGAGTTTGCAGAGGTGCACCGCCCGACTGACTGCTGCGACGAGGTTGAGACTGCTCTTCGGGGCCGCCTTGCGAGACACTGGGACTACCAGCACCTGACGCGACAGAGGGAGCTGTGGAGGCGGCCCCGCGACCTACAGAACCGGGACCAGACTGAGAGGCGCTTCCTCGAGAAGCAGGCCCATCAAAGCCGCCGCCAGGAACTTGGAGTCGATCGCCACGACGAGAAGAGGTCTCGGCCGGCTGCTGACCCCTAGTCGCGCGACCGGCACCTCGCTTGCGGGCTGCTCCAGACATGTTGACTCAAAGATCTCTAGGCTGTTCGTTGTGGTGTCAGTGCTTGAGCTTGCGAAGGGTACAATGAAGGTCAACCTGACTAAAATGGGGGGTGGTTGATCACAATGAGAGAAGAGAGAAACTGAGAAGATGAGGATGACAAGATAAG